ATGTGATGGTTTGGATTTCTCTACAAACTTTCCAATAAGAAAAAAGGAAAAGAAATAAAGGGAATGAACAGATGAAACAGTGATCGGAAAATTGTTCTAATTTTTCTTGCTGAATAAAAGGATTCCCATGAATTCATTATGCTGTTCTGTCTCTAAACTTTCTGTCTGCAAAATTTTCCATAATCAAAGTAAAAAACAGAATGATTAAGAGATATTGTTTCTTGCAATCATCAGAACCCAAAATATCACGGAGTGTGCACTCAATGCCAGGGACTCTGGGACGGGGTGGGGAGACAGATGCTCGTCTTCTGAGACGGGATTGTGCGTGTATTAAGTAAGGTAAAATGTCCTAGGAAGGAGTCCAACAGCCAAAGACCACCCACGTGAAGTCAGGCTGACTGACTTTTGAGCAAGGGAGACAGCACCTCAGGAGAACCAAATGGAGGGATAGCCGGGGTGATCAGAGGACATGGAAAATGATGGGTTGGGGCAAAATTGAATGAAGCTGGGATAGAGATACTCTCTGCAGAGCAGATCTGCGTGTAAAAGTGCTTAACATTGGGCCCGCTGGGGAAGCTGACTCAGAGTCCCCAAAAGTAAGATTAATGTGGGATGTTGTGTCCAAGACACCCCCCCCACACTGAAGCTCTGAATGTAGTTGGAAATGGAGGCTACTTCTTTGTGTCAGAGCCCCCCCCCCCCCCGTGGCTCCGATCTTGCAGGCAATAGAGGGATGTTCCATTCTTAATGACACGGCTTCAGACGGTGGAGATTTTACAGGGGGGGGGACTCTCAGCACAGTGTCCTTGATGTTAACAAGAACCGCTGCCCAAGTTCACGGTGGTATCCCCAGGATTTACCGGTTGGCCCTGTTCCTCCTCAAGAGCATTCCCCACATGCACCCCTGCCCCTAGTAACAGTGAACTTGAACTGAGAGCACAGCATAACACATGCACCAATAACAAGAGCCACAAGCCTTTCCCAGCATTTACCACTTTCCCAGGACGGGCCAAACACGTGACAAGGTGGGTCCCATTTCCACTATCATGCGTGAAGCCTTTAGACTCCGAGGTGTCCAGGCATGTTCCCGTTTGGGGAAATCTCAGCTTTTGGAGGCTAATTCCCCGAGCTCAACACCACCACCAAGCCCAGATGCCCTCACTGCCCTCCAACACGAGGTCTTCGGGTGGGCACAGCACTTTTAGAGGGAAGGGAGGCCTTCTGCCCTCCCAGAATCTCATCAAGCACGCTGAGTTTTCCTCCTTCCTATTTCTCCTTCAGCCTAACAGGTATTTACAAGTCTCCATACACACCTGGCCATGCAAGGACGGGCAGATAGTGTCCTGGTCTCTGAGGAACTCCGCCCTCCAGTGGGCATCCCCTAGCCGGAGTTGTTTACCCTCCATGTCTGGGTAGGACTTGTTCAGGCAAAGCGCATTCCTTCCTTAGAGGCAGGTAAAGAAAGCTGCCTGCTTTATGCTGGCGTTATGGTCACCGCGTGCTCCCAGGGCTCCTACTCCCTGCCCCAACTTCACCTGCCTGCAGAGGATCTACTGCCCCAAAACTTCCCTCTGAAGGGCGGCAACCCAGGGAGGGGCTGGAGCTTTGCTGCCCCCTAGAGGTAGGCCTAAAGAATATCGCCTGGTGCTTCTAGGGTTATGCTTGCGTGCAGAACAATTTTTCATTTTTTAAAATCTGGTTTGCTTTTACTTTTGAAAAGCTACAGCAAGATATTGAAAGATGTCATCGCTGTATGGTAGCAAGAGCTATGGGACTGGACATGTCAGTCCAACAATGCCACGCTTGTATGGGTAAACATTTCAGCTCAAGAGCCCTGAGGATGAAGTTGATGAGAACTTAACGTTATCATTTTACGGAGTTCGTCAAATTCACTTGCAGTTGGTGAAACCAGACACCTTGTGTCTATTCACTAACCTAAATGATCTTTAGGACATGCATGCACATTTTCAGGATTAAAATCGACTTTAAAACAAGGGTCAGTCTGTCTGGCCTCCTCAGGTGAGACTGCCCTGTCTTTGTGCGGGGGGCTTTGCGGCCAGGCCAGGCCTGAAACGCCCTGCATTGCCCAGACTCACCTCCTTTCCATCTAAACTTGGCTCGCCAGGCTCTCTGGGAAGCATTCCCTCCCTGGGCAGCCCGGATTGTTCTCCGTTCCGGGTCTCGCACACCCTCCAGGGGCCAGCTGCTTTGTCCCTGTTACTACGGGCGCCCTGACTCGCCTCACTCGACCCCTCACCCCTCAATCCTGGGCCCTTTTCTGCTGCCTCTGCAGCATTCGGGGGGCCCAGCCTTGTCTGAGCGCCTTAATAAAGACCTGGTGATCGAGCGAGGGGTAGGGGAGAGCCGAGGAGGTGAGCACACCGGGGGATGGGCGTTTCTGATTCCCATTAGAGCAATGAGAAGAAAAGGCCCCGGTGGGGGAGGATTTAAAGCGATAGGAAAGGGGGAGGAAGGACATTTTTGGCCGTACTTTCTCCTCACATGTAGAGCAGACCATTGGCTCTCTGTGTGTGACCGTTGGGTCTCGTTCGCCTCTTTTCACACCACGTCTCAGGCTGGTCCATGCTGGGGACGAGGGAGTCATGGGGACAGGTGGGCGGTACAGTGAGGTTGGCCTGAAGGCCAGAAAGGGGGCAGCGAGGTTGTGTCGGCACAGGACATGGCAGCCTCCAGGGACTGCTCCCCGTCCCACCTCCCTCTGCCTGCTGTCCTTCCTTCTCGGCAGTCGGAGGCAGGCCCTTCTCTAGCTCACAGACTGGGGCCTTACTCGGCTCTGGGTACTCCTCCAAGTGTTTAATGTATTTTGACTAATTCTCATCTCAACCTGTTGAACTGTGCCCCCCCCCCCCAAAGCTAACCCCTAGTACCGGTGACTACGCCCTTAGTTGGACATAGGGTCTCTGCAGATCAAATTAAGATGAGGTCATTAGGGTGGGTTCTGATCCCATATGGCTTGAGTCCTTGTAAAAACAGCAGAGTTTGGGCCAGAAAAACATGCACAGGGAGAGCAGCTGTGTGAACATAGAGACCGGAGGGACACAGCCACACGCCAAGAGTGCTGGGGCTGCTGGAAGCTGGAAGCAGCAAGAACACATCCTCCCCTAGAGTCTGCGGAGGGAGCGTCGTCCTGCTGACACCGACGGCCGCCTTCTAGCCCCCAGAGCCATGAGAAAATAAGTTTCTGCCATTTCAAGCTGCCCCGTTTGTGGTACTTTGTTGTGGCCGCCCCGAAAGCTATTCACAACCCTGTTACGACTTATGATCAACCCCGTGGCCACGGAGGCCCAAGGCCATCTGTCAGCAGGTGGGAAAGCTGGAGCCCAGGCTGGAGTCTCAGCCACTGAGCTCTACTGAGCCTCAAGGCTAGACTGGAACCTTCTTTCATCTCTCGTGATGGATGAAACGGGCAGGACACTCAAGCTCGCAGAGCTGATGCACGAACCTGCAAAGTGGGAACAAAACCCAGATCTGAAGGCCGGGGACTCGCAGGAGCTCGGCTGTGGAGCTCAGCGGGGGCTTGGCGTGGGCAGAGCGCGCGGAGGAGCGGGGCTCCCTGATGGGGCTCGGACTCGCTGGTGGAAGAGCCTGGGCCCCACTCCAGAGCTCAACCCACTCCACCCGCCGGCATCCTCGTCCTCTTCTTCCCCGAAACTTTAACCTGACCTCAGAGGGGTGAGGATGTGAGGGCCTGCCCCTCCCAGAGGAACTAGCTTGTGGACCCCGGAAGTAGGGGCGGGGCAGGCCGGGTGAAGACGTCCAGTCGGCGTGGCGAGGGTATATCCACTGGGTGAATTAGGATTCACTCGGCTACCTGTGTAGCGGCGGGGCTCAACCCCCCCCATAAAGGTTGGTCTGCGAGGCTGGCGGGGGGAGTGGAAGGAGAGCTGTCAGAAGAAGAAGGAAGGAGCAGAGAGGGGAGCGGCGGGAGCAGCAGAGGAGTCGGCGGGAGCAGAAGAAAGAGAGCTGTGACAGCTCTTGTGAGAGCTGTGACAGTGTGACAGCGCTTGTCAGAGCTAGACCCGCCATTGCACCGGAGCCACCAGCGGACCCGAGCCGCCGGCAGCTCCGACGCCTGCAGCCCCGCCCACACCGCGGCTTCGCCAGCGGCGCCCCGGAGAGCAGCGGAGCCACCTGCAGCGGAGATGCCAGAGGTCCGGACACCAGCGGCCCGGCTGACACACAGCGGGGAACGGCCTAGACGCCAGCAACCTCGCTGCGAATGGCCTTGCTGCCAGGAGCGGCCTTGATACCCTGAGCCACAGCCTCGCTGGAGCTGCGCCATTCCGGGGAGCGGCTTCATCTGGAAGAGGCTTCCTCGGTGAGCAGCCCTGAGGAGCGACCTCATCAGCTGCGGCCTCGTCCTGGGAGTGGCCTCGTCCAGAGCGGCCTCATCTACAGAAAGGCCTAATCAGAGCAACCCGTTGGGAGCGGACTTACCGGGATCTTCGTCGTCACCTTTTCGTAAGAGACAGCCTGACCGGTCAGTTTGATTTTGATGCTTGGCGTGAAATAAAGCTTTGTTTGATTTTTGCTTTAATCAGTCTCGTTCTTTGGTCACGGACCCTAACAGAGGACGCATCTGGCCCGGGGGACAGTCTGATTTATTCCTGATTCAAAACTCAGAAGCTTCTCTCTCTCAACCAAAAGCCCCACCCCAAGCCCCACCTAAAGACATTAACTTTTACATCTTTACACCTTAGAAGAATAAATAGCTCCATTTCCAAAGGAAAACATTCTCTTATTAACTAAAGAGTCATTTCTGCATAATTCTGTAACTTTCCATTTCTATGCTTAGTCGTAGTCTCTTTTCCATTGTTCTTTCTCCTGACCACGTATAACTGCCTCTAACAAAGCAGAAAGAGGGAAATAGACAAGATTTCTTCCTTATGCTTGTTATAAGAGGAAGCGAAGGTCTCAAAAGGAAATACTTTCAGTCAGCAAATAACTACCATAAAACAAAGATTTAAAAGTAAGGACACTTATTACGTTCCTTTATTGTACTCGACCAATAGCTTCATGTATAAAAGTCCCTCTAAAAGTATTAAATAAAAATAAAAATTTATTTTAAATTTACCACTGGTAAGTGTATACACAGTATAAGGAAAACTAGACCCTTTCCAGATCACCACAGTCCATGAACAAACGGCTAATTCACAATGTTTGTTCTGGTTTTGTCCTGAGTCCCATGAAAACACCAGTTCTTCTGAGTCCTAAAGCCAGTCTTCCTTCCTGTTACCAACGAACGCCCACCTTTTGAGGAAATAGTTTTCTTTGTAAATACTCCACCAATTCCACTCTTGATTTTAGCAACTCAATCTCATAATAGGGGATCTGTAAAGGGAGGGAAATAAAAGACATCATAACGGGTCACATTGTGAAGTCACCTTGGTGTCCTGGTTTCCTGAACCTGCCCCCGTGGCAGAGTGCAGGCTCCTGGGAGGCGAGGCTTACAGTCCTTCGCTGTGTGGCCCCAGAGCCTCCAACAGCAGCTGGCACACAGCTGGCACATAACTGGGACTCCGGGAGCCTGAACACGCGGGAACAGTGGTGCTCTAGGGCCAGCGGGAGGACAGCTGGAGCCAGAGCATGGATACTCAGAACAGCAGTGTCCAGTCTGATGGGGGAGGCAGCACGGGCAGAGGTAGAGCCTGTGGGGGCACGGGGGCGGGGGTGGCGGGAAAGGGGCCACGGAGCTCGGGGTGGCGGGCCTGCTGTGGAGGGTCCTGACACTCAGGTGCAGAGGGCTTCTCGCTTTCTCCCGTGAGCGGTGAATGAAAAATAAAGGCTCTGGACATGCAGTGGGGTGCGGGCTTGAGAACATCTGGGGACGCAGCTGAAACACGGCGTGGGGAAGGAACCAGACAGGACAGCAGCCACCGGGCAGCTCCAGGCACCTTCCTCGCAGAAGCCCCTGGTGGGCTGCGGCTGACGCAACTGCGAGCAAGGGCTGAGGCACAAGGGTGGGAGAGGATCCTGGATTTAACGGGTCCTCTCATCTACTCCCGGCCGTTGAATCGGGGGGAACGAAAGCAAAACAGATATTCTAATAATTTAGAAATTCTAGAAGCAGAGGTTAGCATAGCTTATGGAGAATACAGGGACAGAAGGTGTGAATGTTCTATATTTCACATATACATACAGAGATTAAGCCTAATGAACAGAGTTGGCATTTAAACTAGATGGAAGATTCTGTTGTCCACTGGGACCAGCGCCCTGGAAAAGCCAATTGCAAGCAGCAACTGCTTTTGGAGCGAAGGCACCTGAAGTCCTACCTGCACCACGCAGAAACCAAGCAGGCGCAGGTGTCTCTGTTTCATGGCTTCCTTTCCCAGTAAGTGTTTGGTATTCAGAGAAAACCTGTTTGGATCATCAATGCACAGCGCTACCCTGAAAAATTGGAGGGAGAAACTTAATTTTTTATTATTTTTTAAAATCCTTTATTTAAATTCAGTTTCGTTAACAGTGTATTATTAGTTTCAGAGGTAGAGGCCAGGGACTCCCCGGTTGTGTGCATCAGACTCCCAGTGCTCATTACATCGAGTGCCCCCCTTAATGCCCATCACCCAGTTACCCTGTCCCCCTACCCACCCCCAGCAACCCTCAGTTTGTTCTCCAGTTAAGAATTTCTTATGGTTTGCCTCCCTCTTTCCCCTGCTTTCCTATGTTCATCTGCTCATTTGTTTCTTAAATTCCACATAAGTGAAATCATACAGTATTTGTCTTTCTCTGGTTGACTTATCTTGCTTAGCATAATACCCCCTAGCTCCAGCCACGTTGCGAATGGTCATCCTTTCTGATGGCTGAGTAATAGTCCACTGTGTATGTACACACCACATCGTCTTTATCCATTCATCTGCCAGTGGGCATCTGGGCTTTTCCCACAGTTTGGCTTTTGTGGACATTGCTGCTATGAACATTGGGGTACACGTGCCCCTTTGGATCACTATGTTTGCATCCTTTGGGTAAATACCGAATAGTGTGGTTACTAGGTCATAGGTTAGCTCTATTTTTATCATCTTAAGGAACCTCCTGTTTTCCAGAGTGGTTGCACCAGCTTGCATTCCCACCAACAGTGTAGGAAGGTTCCCCTTTCTCCACATGCTCACCAACACCTGTCATTTCCTATCCTGTTAATTTTAGCCATTCTGACTGGTGTGAGGTGGTATCTCAGTGTGGTTTTGATTTGTATTTCCCTGATGCCAAGTGATGTTGAACATTTTTCCATGGGTCTGTTGGCCATTTGTGTGTCTTCTTTGGAGAAGTGTCTGCTCATGTCTTCTGCCCTTCTTGACTGGATTATTTGTTTTTTGGGTATTGAGTTTGAGAAGTTCTTTACAGGTTTTGGATACTAGCTCTTTATCTGATAAGAGGGGGAAATTTAATTTTTAAGACAATCCAAAATACTTATATATTCTTAGTGGCACAGATTCGCTTGGGATTCGGTTATTCCTCTATGTCGGCATTATTTTCAGTAACTCACGGGTGTGCTATCCTTTCCTGTGTTGCAACGGCACTCAAGTTTATTAACATTAATGTCTATGTTACACGAATTTCCACAGTCGGGATGCTGCATGCCAGTGTCTTCACTTCTAGAACCTCGTCTACTCTCCCACCCTGGGAAAACAGCATCGGTTACCAAGCCTGCCAAGTCTCGCCACATCAAACCACACCAGTTTTCTTTACCTCTTATGCACATCTTCATTGACTGTAAATGGCAGTACTAATCCTTCTTCGTCTAATTTAATTTCAACATCTGGTGAGAGAAGAAAGGAAACATTCTCCGTCTGATACCCTCACAAACACTACACACCTGTCCTCCTCCTCCTTCTGTTCTGAATTCTTCCACACTGTGATGGACCAGCCGGGCTGCAGTCTGCGAAGTAATGACCACACCAGACCATGGTGAGGATTTCACTTTAACCAGCTCTACAATCACCCAAGTCAGCCTTAAGTTAAGGACGCTCCGCCATGAGAAAACCAGGAGTGGAGTCCTCTAGATACCGGGCATGACAAGAACCTCGCCTTTCTTCTTCTCCTTCTGTAGAAAGTGGTGGCAATCCTTCAACCCAGAGAGTGAAGGAAGCCCTTTAAGCAAAGCAGGAGTATAACCTCTGCAAGTTAAAACTTTCATCACTGCGGCTCCCAGAGCCTCCCAGAGCAAAGCCTCCTGCACCCTGATGTGTGGGCGCCGGGCATAGCGGACCACCGCTTCCTTCCCTCTGACATCCTGCCATTCCTTCTGTAGAAAGAGCCCATGTGAAGAAGGTGAGCTATGATCACCTGAAACCGATAAGACACTGTCACCTTTGAGCTGATTTTCTTTTATTCATTAATTAAGAAAAAAAACCGTGACAGGCATAAGAACGTGAACTCTCCGGTCAGCCCTGTGCAACAGAACTTTCTGTTGCAAAGCAGGTATTTTCACCTTTGCTGTCCACCACGGCATCCACCAGCCTCCTGGGTGTTTAAGTGCTTGATGTGTGGCTCATGCAACCAAGGACTGAACTGTGGATGGGTTTTCAATCGAAGTTGATGGAAACTTAAGTAGCCACAAGTACTACTGGCCGCTGCATTGGCCAGCACTGCCCTGGATGACAGCAGCTAACAGGGACGCAGCACGTACTACATTCCAGGTATCACTCTACACTCTCCCTTGGTCCTTATGCAATTCTGGGTCACTGTGCTTCTTACATTCATTTTACAGAAAAGAAGCAAGCAGAGAAAGGTTACTCTGCCCAGAGACATTCCACTACCACATGAGACTCCCCTGACTGGACTGCACCGCCCTACCCCCACCCCGTGTTCCAATGTGCCTTCAGGGAAGGGCCGCCTCTGCTACATTTCCAGACCTTGCAGGGGCGACTAAATCCACAGATTCCCAAAGAGGACAGCATGTTGAGGCTGCTCAGGCACAGCAAACCCCTACTACTTACCTATTGTGTAACAATACGGCGTTAACACTTTCGGAGCAAAATACAGTCTTGCTCCCAAAAGGTCAACCAGTCCAATCTTCACAAATTTGTAAAGCTGGAAATCCACAGGAGTCTCCAGGGAAGAACATGGAGTAAGAAATGATCTCACTCGGTATTTAGGAAGAAGTTTCTGACCCTAAAAATTGGATGTTTAAACATGAGAAAGGAAGAAACGATATAAAACAAGAAAATAAATCCAATAGTTCAATGTATATTATAAATACGATTTAAAAGTAGTCAGTGGGGGCACCCGGGTGGCTCAGGGGGTTAAAGCCTCTGCCTTCGGCTCAGGTCATGATCTCAGGGTCCTGGGATCGAGCCCCACATTGGGCTCTCTGCTCAGCAGGGAGCCTGCTTCCCCCTCTCTCTCTGCCTGCCTCTCTGCCTGCTTGTGATCTCTGTCTCTCTCTGTCAAATAAATAAATAAAATATTTTTAAAAAAATAAAAAAAATAAATAAAAGTAGTCAGTGGTCACAGAAAGAAAGGGAGGGGTGGAACAACAATGCTATTACAGCTCCAGAAACATCTTTGAAACTCTTAGAATTACTTTAAGGGCCTTGAGGACACTCATGTTTTCAATAGAGGACAGTATGAAAAAGGTGACATTTCAAATCAGGGAAAAAAGGATGGCTATGTAGTAAATGCTGCAACTAGTAATCCACCTGGGAACGAGCTAAGTGAGAGTTCCAGCGTGCACTGTGGACTGTCATAAATTCCAGGTGAGTTAAAGAGCTAGATACAGAAAGGGAAATGATACTTTTGGAAAATTTAGAAAAATATTTATACTACCTTAGGACAGGTAAAATATTCTCAGTGAGAGAAGAAACCTTAAAAGATGGATAGATTTTACTACAGAAAACTTAAAAATTTTTATATAGTAGAAAGATACCATAAACAATGTTAAATTAAAATTAAAAAGTAAGAACTATAGGGGCACCTGGGTGGCTCAATTAAGCATCCAACTGTTGATTTTCAGCTTAGAATCTCAGGGTCCTGAGATGGAGCCCACCGCCGCAGGCTGTGTTCAGTGTGGGGTCTGCTTATGTTTCTCCCTCTCCCTCCCTCTCTGCATCTGCTCCTCCCCCGCACCACACACATGCACACACGCAACGTATCAAAAAAAAAAAAAAAATTAAGAACTACAAACCAGGAGGGCACCTGGGTGGCTCAGTGGGTTAAGCCTCTGCCTTCAGCCCATGTTATGATCTCAGCGTCCTGGGATCCAGCCTGCATTGGGCTCTCTGCTCAGTGGGAAACCTGCCTCCCCCACCCACCCCTCTGCCTGCCTCTCTGCCTACTTGTGATCTCTCTCTCTGTGTCAAATAAATAAATAAAATCTTAAAAAAAAAAAAAAAGAATTACAAACCAGGAGAAAAAATGTACAACATACACAGATATACAGGAACTAATATCTCCATCTTGCAATGTGTTCTAGGATGAGACAAAGAAAAAAAGGACAAGCAACCAAACAGGAACGTGAGTCAAGAAACGGATTCAAAGAGGATTCGTAGCAAACGTAAATGACCAGGAAGCACTGTGGAAATACATGCAACTCGTTATTGCTCATAAAAATGCAATTTAAACATGTGACACAGTAGTCTTCTTCATGGAGCCGAATGGTAACAATTAAAGGACTGATAACACGCAGCGACAGAGGGGCAGGGCCATGGCCGGGGAAGGGACATCTACAGCCATCAGGGCCAACAAGTGTGTGGGTAAGTCAGTCATCTCACTTTCAGGAATCCAGTCTCTAGACTGAAAAACAAAAAGGCTCCAGTAGGGAAGGACACGTAAGAATGTTCACTATAGCCCGCTGACGGAGAGAAACGCTGGGGAAAAACCTGCGAGTCCAACAATGATGGAACAGAATAAATATCTGGAAATGGCATGCCATTCTTAAAAAGAGTGCATGTCACCTTTGTGTACTGTGCCCAAGGAATGTCCATGATGTACTGTGTATACATAAAAGCATACTGTCCTTGCAGTAGCCCCATTCCAAGGCAAGAGAGAAACCAGGACAGTATTCGTGCCTTTGTGTCCATTTGGACATAAAAACTGCTGTCAACACTGCTCCTTCAGGGATGGAAGGAGGCTGGGGTAAGTCATTGCTCTTAACATGCCTTAGCATTGCTGAAGTTGCTTTAAACAAAATAGTTGGCGGTGGGGGGGGCATGGGGGTGGCCCGGTTGGTTAAGCATCTGCCTTCGACTCCGGTCATGATCCTGGGGTCCTGGGATGGGGCCCTGCATCGGGCTCCCTGCTCAGCAGGGAGCCTGCTTCCTCCTCTCTTGCTGCTGCTCCCGCTGCTTGTGCTCTCCCTCCCTCCCTGTCAAATACATAAATAAAACCTTAAAAAAAAAAAAAGAAGAAGAAAATAGTGGTATCTCCATTCTTACACCTTACTCTGAAATGAGCTACTCTTAAAGGTGAATCAGTGTGGCCCGGAGGACCAGGCAAAATGAGCAAGTCTGGAGATGCCATCTGGGATCCCACACACGGGGCCTGAATAAGTCAGGACGGTGACTCCCTAGAGGTCTAGACGGGAAGCACAACCGGCACCTCAACTAAACAGAGAAGAGGGAAATTTCTGGTCTGGCTTAAAAATGTACTTGCAATCATTTAGGATTTGCTCAGTCCAGAGATTCGCACGTTTGTATCCAACAGCTGTGGGAGCGCTAAAGCCCTTCGCAGCCCTCAGAGGAAATCTAGGGGCGCTCTGACTGCGGCACTTGATGAAATCTTCTAAGACACCCCGCAGCAGGAAACGGTCCTTCAAAGACCAGATGACAGCAATGGGGCCAATTTATCAAAGAAAAGGTTACCTGGTGGCAAGTAACTCCAAGTGAACGAACATCCTGCTTTGTGACGTGGTTACTGAGACAGATCAAAAGAGGACAAGCTTCAAAGACTGGGGGTGGGGACACGAAGAACGCTGCCTCCACGGCGGAATCAGGCAGCACGGCTCTTGCTCTTACCTTATAGAAAGGGCATTCTAGGACCGAGGTTAAGTACAGTTGGGTCAGCTGTGCGAGGCTCAGTCTGTCCAAATAGGATTCTTCACCTGAAATAAAAAGCGTTCCGGTTGTGGTTACGTTTGGATTTTGGTCTGTGTGATGACAGAAACATCCAGGAACATACAACGTACACTACCCACTCTGGGAGGCACGTACTTTTAAATGACCCTGGCAGAAGAACGTGTCAGAGCTAAGCACGCTTGCCATCCGTGCGATCTCGTTTTAACTTCCAAGTAACTCAAGCTCCAAACGACAAAATATAATTAAAAGAAACAGGTATGTTAAAACCAGTACGGAGTCCCTTGAACTGGAGACGTGGACACCTGACATGTCTGGGGGGCCATCCACTGAGATGACCGACGCCAGCCCGTCAAAACCGGGAAGTCTCCAGTTGCCCTCACAGCTTCTGACACTGTGACTGTGACTGGGGCCACGTCATCCCACAAGACTCAGGCTGGCAGTCTGTTGAGCCAAAACTGTTTTCCCTGTGTGTATTCCATCACCCTGGAACTCTGTGTTTTGATTCGCACCTGACACTCTTATTAAGGTTATTACGGAAGAGGAAAGAGGGGCACATTGCTCAGTGTATGGGCAGATAGGCGCTTCAAAAACCTCACACGTTCTGGAGTTAATTTCCCCACTCGAAGTTATAACCAACCCACCTTGCAGCTTTTGAAGAAAATAAGGGCTGAATATTTTTGCCATGAAGTTGACCGGATGGCATTCAATTAGAGAACACGAATGGAGAATTTTCAGTAGTGTTTTGGGTGGAAAATAATTGAAATGAGTGAGCAACGTGTTTTCTAGCTTTCTAAAGAAAGCAGAGGCATTCGGGGGCAAGTAATTGAGTTTTCCAAATGGTTCGATTAACTCAGAGATCTGATGAGGTGAAAATTTTTCTGATTGGCAAACAAAGGTTTCTGCCACTGCATCGAGGATGGGTTTTGAAAGAATCCGCTTCCTACTGCAGTACTCCGTGACCTTGCTGACAACCTCAGGATCCAAAGTGAGACACACTGAGGCTACATGCTGCTCGAGGGCTTTTGTAAAAAATCTGTCGTTGTGCCCAAAGTATATGAAAGCCTCTAAGACTTTTCTGAGCTCTTCATTAGTAAAACGAGGGATATGCCTCACAACATATTTTCCCAACTTTATAACCAGAGGAAGTGCCTGGGTTTGATCAAGAACCACCAGGGCACTGAGGATTTGGCTCATTGATGTTGGAGTCAAGCTGTAAACTACGGACAGAGAAAAGTTGTTTAGCTTATTAAGCAATGCTTGGTGTTGGCCCACTTTTTCAGTACAAGCCTGCAGGATTCTATAAAGAGCCACGATATCCTCAGGGGTAAATTCTTCCAACTTTTCCCTTTTCAGCTGACCTATCACCAGTTCTAGCGTTGCACAGCCCGGCCCCTGTAGTTTGATCAGACTTTCCCCAAGAATACAAAGACTGTGGACTTCCAGGCCACCCCCTTTGAGGCGACGCTGGCATTCTGCCACCAGGCTCAGAACCAAGCTACTGTGGGGATCCACATGCAACAGAGTCAGAGCTTGCAAAGTGGTCACCAAAACCGTGTCCGGCAGACCTGAGGGTTCCTGTTCACACTGAATGCATAGTGCCTGAAAGACACGGTTCTTTAGTATTTCTTTTGGCAGCTTTTCATCACCATCTTTTCTCTCCACTTCACAAATCCGCTGTAAGGCGCCTGCTGCTAGAGTATCAGACAAAGTCTGCAGTTTGCAGCTTATAAAACTCAACACTTCTTCCGAGGACGTGAAGCTGTTTAGTCTCCTGTAAAACGTCTGCTCATCCACACTTGTAAGACTTTGTTCAGGCCTATCCCAGTCGTGTGCTTCAGAGAACATGGGCTCACCAGCCGGATGAAGGTCATTTCCGTTTTCTGAATGGAAGTTTTTACAACAGCCGTGATGGAACCTGACCCCGAGAGGCTCAGCCTGCGGTGAACAGAACCACAGACACAGACGCTCCTCGGCTACCTTGTGAACATGAATTATAGGATGGTTTTTCAGAGCGGCCAGAGCTCCGTGGATCCGAAAATCAGACAAATGGCAAAGGTTCCTCCACAAGGTAATTAAGGCCATGCCATCAGATTCTCCACTCTTGATTTACAACTAAAGGAAATAAAAAAACATGGTCAAATACATACAGCGCAAAATCCAACCACATGAATGCTTAAGAAACCGAGCAGGAGTACTGGTGACAAGTGACTCATAAACACAAGTTCCCAAACATCAGTCTCTGCATCAGCAGCTTGGAAAAGCGGCTGGCACCTAAGAGTAATACCCCCTGCCACCTGGTATCCTCCCGCCTCCCCCTGCTTTGCCAGTAGAGCTAACCCTCACCATACAAGGCATCAAGTACTTCTACCCATTCTACAGATGAGAAAACTGAGCCCAAAGAGGTTATCTTATCCGGTTTGCACAGCTCAGCCGTGGCAGAGCTGGGACTCACACTCGGGAGGTCTACACCCCAAACACGCCTCCTGCCTGTTGGCTGACAGCACTGTGTTTGGTAAAATACACCCAAAAGGAGCAACGGGTAAAAGGGCCCAAATCCGTAGAGGTCAACGCAAAGCAAGGCTCAAACACGTGAAAAACGCCCGAGGCGTCGCTTTCCTCTCGAAGTTAAGATCCGGCCAGGGCCGAGGAAGAACGGGGTCTAGTTTGGGGAAAAAGGCAGATTTGAAAGAAGTGAAACGATGCAGCGCACGAAGGGAGAAGATGAGAATTCCGTGTCCCCCTAAAGGCTCGCGTGGGACTTGGGGACACGTGTGCAGGCCAGAGAGACGGGGCGCCCCAGGAACCGCGTCTTCTAGGAGTGAAAGGACCCCACGCGCCGGGCGGACCCGGGAACCTGCGCTCCAGCCCGGGGAGTGCAGGGGCGGCGGCCGGAGAGGAGCGGGAGGGCCATGGCGACACGGACACCTCGGCAGCGCCGCGGGCTCACGTACGCGGGGCCCGGACACCTACCGCGCTGGGACACCTACGGCGCTTAGAGCGCGGGAGCTCCGAGCGGCGCCGAGCCACCGGAACCTCGTGGGCCTCCGTACTCGCATTCCTTAGCGGACGCCCCACCCCCAGCAGCCCGGCGCACGCGCAGAGAGAAGGCCACACCCCCGCGCCGGGAGCGCTGTGATTGGCTCCGTTCCTTCCCGAGCTCCTTCTTGGTCTTGGGCGCAAGAAAGGTGTGCGCCGTGACGGAGCGCGCGGCGCGGGAGCAGCCTCGCGTTCCTACTCTTGCCCCGCGTGTTTCCGGCTGGGCGCGGTCAGCGGACACCGCTGGCTGCGGTTCTCCGGACTCTCAGTCCGCCCAGTTGGAGCCCGCGGGGAGGCAGTACGGGTAGGGGAAGGCACCGGCCTCTGCGCCCGCACGTCCCTCTCGCGGCCGGGCTGGGCCCTCACGGGTAGGGTCAGGAACCGGGCCGGGTTGGGCGGAGAGCGGCTGGGCGGGCTGCGCCGGAGGCTGGGTCCTGGGTCTCCCGTCGCCGCCGGGGAGCGGGTCGGGCCCCGCCGCGGCGTTGGAACGGGCGGTGCGGTCCCCGCGGGTCCCTGTGGGCGCCTCCGTGGGCGTCTGTGTCCCGAACACTTCCCTAGACTGGAGGGCGAGGGGACCCAAGGGGGCGTCGGAAAGGGGTGCGGCAGCGGGGGTCACGCGGGGTGCTGCTCCCCGGCTTCTTCGCCTGCAGGTGCCGGGCGGGTGCCGGGGATCCGCCTCTGAGTAACGGGGGTCACAGACCTTTGTAAGGTGGTGGTGGGCCTGAGGGGTTCCTCCTCCTCGGGAGCGCCCGGGGCTGTGCATGGCGCCCAGGAAGAGCTCGAGGCCCTTAGCTGTGGTGACGGTAAGCGGTGACATTTCCATCACTGCATTTCCACAGTTGTCGCTGAGCCCAAAATGTGTGCTGTCTTCGTAGCAGGCATTTATTCGTTGGTTCGGCTGACTTACTGAACGCCTGCTCCGTGCCAGGCAGTGTCCTGTTCCCTAAGGGCATCCCGTGCGTTCAGTGTTCCCTAACACAATCCTTTTAATTTCTTTGTGGCTTAATTTATCCCTGGACGTACCTGGTCAATGGACATAAAACTCCTGATGGTCCATTCCGAAACGCCAGGATTTGATACTGATTCATGGAAATCTGCCCCTAGAAGTTGGCAGTCAGTCCCCCAGTTTTGTTATTATTTTTTTAAGTTTAATTTACTGAGTAATCTCTACACCCATTGCGGTGCTGGAAGTTCACCACCCGGGGATAAGGGTCTCACACTCTGGACTGAGCCAGCCAGGCGCCCTCCAGTGCCCCAGCTTTAGATCCTGGATGGGGATAGCAAAACAAGTCTGTGAGAGTCCCGTGTCTTACTCCTGGTTTTCTCTTCAGGAAACACGTTTTGAGCTTGAGCGGATTGGAAATGTTTCCTCCCTCTCCATACATGTATACGTGTGCACTCGCGTGTGTGTATCTGATACTGAAGTAGAGCAGGGTATGTAGCTTGATCAGTGTCACTGCTGCGATTAGCTTATTTGGCATTTGGAGCAGGTCGGAACAGAATCGTATACTTCCAATGGAATTTTTACATTTAAAAAAAAAAAAAACATGTACTCCTCTGAGAGCGAGAGCACGCGTACAAGTTGAGGAAGAGGAGAAGCAGACTCTCTGTGGGCGCAGGGAGACTGCCTCAGGGCTCCATCCCAGGGCTCGGAGTTTATGACCTGAGCTGAAGGCAGGTGCTTAACCGACTGAGCCTCCCAGGCGCCCCATTGCGTTTGTTAACATAAAAACATCAGATTTATTGAGCACTGCTGTGTCTCTGCTGTGGCGCAGATCTTCACAGCTGGCCGGGGGTGCTCTTAACCCCATTTCAAGGGCGAGGGAGCTGAGGCACAGACCAGTGGAAAAGCTTGCCTGAAGTTCTGCCATCATGCATGACGGACGCCGGATTCGAATGCGAGGAGTCGGACCCCACTATCCGGTTTCTGAGCTGTGGATTTAGAACTTTACTCCTGTATTCTCCCTGGTTGGATGAATTCTCTTTTTTAGACTCGCTGAGAATTACGCTAACGTACTTAGAGAAGCCTGCGTCGTATTACGTGTGGATGTTGTCGGAGTCTTTTAGAAAGACTGTGAGGGAGAACAGCTGTGGTGTATGCCTCAGTTAGGAACGAAGAACATCCCTCTGTCTCTTCTGTTCCACAGTGTGTTGAAGCTGTAGCACATGCCGTGAGGCGATGAGGAGGTTTTTGTTACTCTATGCTACACAGAAAGGACAAGCGAAGGCCATAGCGGAAGAAATATGTGAAAAAGCATTCGTACATGGATTTTCCGCAGATCTTCACTGTATTAGTGAGTCAGATAAGGTGAGTGGCTTCTCATGGATTTTACTGTTTTATGCTCAGAGTATGTTGGTTGGTAGGTGACGTTAAACAGCAAAGTAGGCTGCTAAATGTCTCCATACTCCCTTTTCTTTCAACACTTAGAAACTTATTTTATCAACTCTTGTTAAGATTTGTCATTTTTTTAACATACAAGTGTACATTTGAATTTGACCCAACAGTTTCAAAAGCCAAAACAAGTAACCACTCAACTGTGAGGGGTAGTAGTGGCGCTTCCTTTCTCTCTCGTTGGCTGTGAGAACCAAACAGATGAGTGCTTGCACTTGTGTGTTTCCCAACTCACGAATCCTAAGTGCCCCATTTGCATTTCCTCAAAATAAAGACTTTGCCATTCATGTCAGAGTTCCTCCAAGGGAAGGACTATGCAGTTCTTTTCTGGACTACAATTTAAAGCAGGAGTGGAAGGTTCTAGAGAAGATTCAGCTTCTTTACGGCAGGGAATGCTTATTTTTAGGCTCAGTCTCTGCAGAAATTCCTACCTAAGGTTATGGAAGATTGTAACAGATCTGTATTCTTCTTTCAGTTAGTGTGATTGAGTTTTCTGGATTTTACTGTCTTATACAAGTCAGTCTGTAGCAACTAGCAGGAGCTTTTTATATAAGGACAAGTTGATGTGCCAGCCACTAACACTTTAAAAATTTCCCTCAGTACTTTAAAAATTAACCTCAGTGTAGCCGGTATACTCAAGTTCATAGTCTCCTCTGGCCTTTTCCACAACTGTAGTTCAAAGGACTAGACTGTCAGCAGCACAAGTGAATTATAAACTCCCCTCATAGGAGAACCTTCATGTTTCTGTATGTGTCAGGGTCAAGATGACTCCAGATGTAGCCACTCACCCACCAGGGAGCATCCTGGAGGATACCACCAGTCCGCAGTTTCTGTAATCCTACAGCAACTTCGGTGTTGGTGTGGAGGGTGCCACATGCTAGAATATAATCTGAATCTGTTATTGTAAACAAAAAGTTGTCAGCACCATATAACTAGCCCTGATTTGGCCCCTCGGACTCACCTCACCACCTAGGCCAGCAGCTATTTGAACCTTAGGTGAATGCTACCAGTCATGTTAGCGGTCCTGATTGCTCTCCCCAGCTCATTGGTTTCTCTAGTTCTTGATCCAAGTTTAAACAGATAGCTGTCTACTTGCTAGGTCATGGTAGTCCTTTTTAAGACAAAGTTACATGAACTGTAAAAGTTCACTACACAGGGTGCGCTGTCTCCTGTAAGCATTGAATCACCTGGTAATCTGTTACCTCAAATCCTTGTATCAGCATGAAGAAGAAGTGAATCCCTCAGTCAGATTCGATGATACACATGAGCAGTAGAGATCATGGAGTCATTAGGAAGAGAGACGGTGAAGTGTCTCTTTGGAATATTTAAATTAGGTCAGGTTTATAGTGAAGAAACTTATCTGTAAGTTGCCGAGTTTTCTGCCAATGGTTTCCATTTACCCCCTCCATATTCCCAGCTCCCAGGATCCGGAAGGGGTGAGGAGTGGGCCAGGTTCCATGGTACCTGAGGAGTAACGCTTGCACTCCCCCTCCTCATCCTCTGTGCTGTGAAGCCTCGTGCAGCACAGATGCCTGGTTCTGGATAGAGGAGACCTCGCTGGTTGCCTTGCTGATGTGTTAAGTCAGAACTATGTGTAGCCGTAGATCCCTGACACGTGGTCCTCGTTTTGTAGTATGATCTGAAAACTGAAACAGCGCCTCTCGTTGTGGTTGTTTCCACCACGGGCACTGGAGACCCACCCGACACTGCGCGCAAGTTCGTGAAAGCAATACAGGACAAGGCCCTGCCGGGAGACTTCCTTGCTCATCTGCGCTACGGATTACTGGGTATGGACCGTGTTTGCGTTCTGCCTGTCCTCAGTTATTCCTGGTTTAATTCTGGTATCTGAATGTATCCTTCAAAACCATGATATATAGTTGTGTAGATTTTGTTGTTGGTTTTCTGTTTACGGTTACATGTTTTATATTTCTATGGTGTCCTGTGTTCTGTGAATGCCTCCCCTATCTTCACCCCATAGCAGCTCCTCTGTGGAGCCCCTGGAATAGCATTTTTTTTTTTTTTTTAAGATTTTTATTTATTTGACAGTGGAAGAGGGAACAGAAGCAGAGGGAGTGGGAGAGAGGGAAGCAGGCCTCCTGCTGAGCAGGGAGCCCGGATGCGGGGCTCGATCCCAGGACCCTGGGATCATGACCTGAGCCGAAGGCAGACACTCGATGGCTGAGCCACCCAGGCGCCCCATTTACATTTTTTTATTCAAGTTTTTTCTAATTTCTTTTTTCAAGAATGAACATGTATGTGTTGCTTTAAAAAATTCCTCAAAAAAGGTATCAACCATTCTAGTCACTGTTAGGCCATTTATGGACCCCCCCTCCCATGCCCACCACAATTGCTTACCCTGTTCTTTTTATGAAAGTATGTGGAGATGATTAAACAACTGAGAAATTAACACTTTTAACCTTAAATTTTTAACCAAGTATGAAAATGTTAGTCCATTTTCTTGTCAGGAAACATAGGAGTTCCTAATTCACCTAACACAGAAATACAGGAAATAATTATGTTGCAGACGTACTTGTCTACACTCTCAATTAGGGGTCAGTAAAATCAATAAAGGGCCAGAAGAGAACTGTCTTAGGCATTGCAGACCATGTGTTCTTTGTAACAACTACTTAACTCTGTTGTTGCAACTGGAGAGCTGCCCTAAACTATGTGAACAAATGGGCTTGGCTGTGTTCCAGCACGACTTTATAAAGACAGTCCAGGGGGCACCTGGGTGGCTCAGTCCAGGAGTTGTATTTGGCCCACAGCATGTAGTTTGCAGACCTGTGTGCACGAGAGCAGAAGTCTGCAAATACAGATACTATGTTTTTTTTCTTAAACCTATCTAATTCTTTTAAGATTTCCATATTTTTTCACAGATTCATGTAAACAAAAATGTGAAAGTATTTGTTAACAGTGGCCAAGAAGTGTTTCTGTTTTGATGGGTCTGTTACTGTAATACTGTAAAATAGAAGGCAAATATTTGCATACTTAGTATTTACCCAAGGAAAACCTCGGGAGACATGAAGGTGTGCATTATTAATCAGAGCATAGAATGGTATTGTTTTAAATATTTGTTCTGTATATCTTCTTTAAATTTAAACCTTACTGTGTGTGCACCGATAATCCGTTTGGGCTCCCTAGGGCTGGGTGATTCCGAATACACGTACTTCTGCAACGGCGGGAAGATCATTGACAAGCGACTTCAGGAGCTGGGTGCCAGACATTTCTACGACACTGGCCATGCGGATGACAGCGTGGGGTAAGAGCAGTGTGCTTCCCCTCCACATTTCCAGTCAGTCCCTCTCTGTACTGTATGAAAGCTTGTGAGTTTATGAAATATGATGACTTTTGATTTAGCACTGAAGCTTTTATTTTGAAAGTTATTTTCCTTTTTCTAGCTTTTTTTAGCCCTAGGACCAAAGATCAGCCAGAGCTTGATTTCCATATTCTGTTGACTTTCAGTGCCTCCAGATTCTGCTAAGAGAAGACATCTGTAAAGATGCCCTGGGATAGTTAGCTCTGTCAACAAAATGTGGAGGCATTTGTAGAAGTCCGCATGTTCTTTAGGAACTTTGATAGCCTGCGTGTTGGCTTTCTGCTGTGCACACACAGGGACTGGATGCGGGTCCTCGCGTGGAGGCCTCCCATCACGCCCGGCATCCCTGGCAGTGAGCACAGGCCAGAAGCGTTCACGCGCCGGCACACTGTGTTCCCTGGCTCTCTCTTTACCGTCTTAATGGCCGCTTGCCCTCATGCCAGCCAGAAATATAATTCCTATTTCCATTAGTTCACTGGTGGTTTTACAGCTCAGCATTTCACCTTCTGTGCCACCTTTGAAATCCTCTTGATGTGTTTATTCAGAGATCGAATAGATGTTGTCCTACAACTAAGTTTATCATTCAGCCTCTGGCTGTTTCAGCAGATGACAGCTGACCACCTGACCTTTTTTTTTCTTTTCCTACGTGGTGTGCATATTCTCACCCACTTGATCTTTGTTTATGAATGACGACAAATTCAGCACATGCCGCGCTTTTCTGCATAGCACCACCTTGCTCGGGTCTACTGGAAACACTTCTCTTTCTGCTTAGCCCACCCTCCGCTCCGTCATGCTCCGTGAGGGCGACGCGCTGGTCTTTTCCCACGGCCCAGTGCGTATGTTCTTGATCATGACGAAGCTCTGCCGTGTTGCCTCGCGTGTTCACCTTCTAGTCTTGTCTCCCTTTATGTTGATTTCTTTGTGTGTGTTTTTTGTTTTTTGCCAGAGTCATGTTGCCTTTATTTATTGTCTTGTATGAGCCATGTGCTTGCTAACTTCTTACAGAACCCACTGGGCCTGTCACTGAGTCCACATTTTCCTTCTCTTCAGAGTCTTTCCGTTGCCCTGTTCGTTTACTGGATCCAGCGTTAAAATTCTTGAAAGTGTTTTTTATCAACCTGTAGCTCATCAATTTTCAGCCTAACTACCTCTCTTGAGTTTGCCCTCTTCTAAAATTATTTTTAAGGAGATACCCTGGTGTAGTGTAGCAGCCCCCACACTGATGGGGACAAGGATGCAGAGTGGGGTCCAGTCGCCTGCCTGCAGATTCTTGATAACCAACCGCCTTCACGGAGCACTGAAATCTTGGTCGTGTTACTTACTTGTGTGCTCCACTTTCTCCCTCTGTGAGAGGGGATAATAGTGTGTATCGTGGAAAATTTGGGGGAGGAACAAATGACTTGATGCAGGTTGTCCTCTTAGAGTAATACTTGCCCTGTTGTAAGTGTGCCGTGAACATTAGCTCTCCTGCTGGAGGTGTTAGCGACTTAATATTTTTGAGCTGCGAAGATGGCGTTTTAAATGTAGCTGTCATTGCTGAACCCAGAGTTTTATGTCCTTGCTTTCCCAAAGGCTCTGACGGATGTATGTGTTCTAATGAGATTGTAGCCAGAGTCCTAATAAGACAGAAGTCTGAAATGTGCCTTTTCCTGTCATTTAACTTTATGAATTAGGATTTACTTGATTCCTCCTTTGAGTTGTGATTAAAAATGAAAAGGCTGTGATTTCCAAGATTCTGATGCATGGTTTCTTACTTGTTCAGTTAAAGTTTCTCCGTTCAGGGAATATAGGGGTACTATTGTTGGCTTGCCCTACTTTGTCTGTAGTAAATATGCTACCAGATTCTAAAACTTATCTATGATTCATTCAGCTTTCCTACAGGAATCTTAGGTTTTCTTTCTCTTGTGTTCAGACGCCCTGAAAATTTCATCAGAAATGTTCAGAACCAGTTCAAGGTTTGAACTCTTTACTTAGAATACCTAGCATTAATCCAGAGGGATTTCTTGGTGATATTTTAATCTGTAGGGGAAAAAAAATTCACTAAATTAGGGGGAAGAAATGATGTTGCATTTGACATATGTAATTATCATGTGATACTAGAGTAGGCTTGGATTTGGGATAAGTCCTGTTAGCCTCATCAGAATTTCACAGGCCTACTTAAAATTACAACTTCTTAAAATAGTACCAACTATATTTTAGGAAGTTAAGAGCAATCCCATTCCTGTTACTTATTATTGAAATGGCTTCATTTCGGTTCTGACCTTTATCTATGCTCAATTTTTTTACAGCTGAAGTTCTGATGAACACACTGTAATGCTTTTAACTTAATCATAGGTATGTTTTGTATTCTGAATAGTCATTATATTTATTGTTTTTAACATTTGCATAGCGTTCTGCCAAGTAGACTGCCATTATCCCATGATTTTGTCTTTAAATGGAGAACTTAGGCATTTTTTTTTTCTTTTTTTATTGCAACAACCCAGTTTAGAACTTGTGGTGGAGCCATGGATTGATGGACTCTGGGCTGCCCTCACGAAACACTTTACATCCAGTAGAGGAAAAGCGGAGAGGACCGGCGCTCTCAGGGTGGCATTGGATGCCTCCCGAAGGATGGATCCTCTGAAACCAGAATTACGACACATTGAATCACAAGTTGAACTTCTGAGATTAGGTGATCCAGGGAGAAGGGATTCTGAGGCGTGGGGACAGAATGCAGCGGACGGAAGTCTGTCAGGTGCTCCAGCGGCGGAGTCGGAGTCCGAGTCCTCGCTCACCCGCTCGGAACCGCCGCTCTCACAGGCGGCCCTGAGCACCCCCGCCGCGCCGCCCGAGTACCTGCACGTGCGCCTGCAGGAGTCTCTGGGCCGGGTAAGTGCTTCCCCCCGGGCCCCGGCTCCAGAACGTCCGCTTCCCAGAGCAGCCGCTTCGTCGTCGTTCCTGCATTGCAGCAGGGGTCCGCGAGCCGGCCTGTGGGGCAGGTGCGTGCCTCGGAAGTAAGGCTTACTGGGACCCAGGCCTGCGCGTCCGTTCCCGTGCGGCCCGTGGCTGCTTCTGTGCCACCGCGGCGGGGCTCGCGGTGGGGGTCCCTGGAGGCGGGTGCGCCTGAGATGGTTACTGTCTGGCCCCTTCCAGAGAAAGTGCCTGGGCAGAAGCGCTTGCATAACGTCACTTCTGTCTTTGAAGCAGGAGTGGCTAAGAGCTCAGTTTCTCTGTCATTTTGGAGAATTAATTTGTTTCTTCATTTCGATGTGGGTCGGGGGATGGCAGGTGGTGTGGGCACTCAGGAAATGACCTCAGCTACACTTGAAGCGTGACTTCACAGCAGAATCGCTTTTCCAGCAGAGGCTTTGTGCCCTCGGTGCTCCACTTTGGGGATTATTCTTTTTCTTGGTGACATTTTACAGCCTGGTTTTTGCCTATATTAAGTCATTTTTTTGTCAGGTGTGTTTTTTCTCTTAATAAAGAAGTGTCCTTAAAGTAGTCTCTAAATTTTGAGCATTAAGTTGATGAACAACTCATTTCTCCTCAGCACTGCCAGCGTGTGGCACCCTGACACTTATTCCATCAGGCCGAGACTCGGTTTCCACCGCAGCCCGTCTTTCCGGAGAGCCACGCCCTCCTTCTCTAGAGTGGCCCACGGTGGGGCTCCCCGTGGACTGTCTCCCATAAACCTCCCCACGGCGCAGGATTGCGATTTCTTGTTTCTTGATTTCTTATTTTGATGAAGCAAGGCGAGACATTTTAGAAGCAATTTAAGTACAACTGTCTAGCCTGTTAGAACTGTTGGCCAGCACCTGATAGGATAATGGTTTTTTAACATCTGCTTATGGTGTTTTCCTAGAGCATTCAGGCAAACGTGTTTATAGAAACAGCTGTCAGGTGTTTTCCACTTACGCTCCATTATTGTGCAAATTGTTTAGTTAAGCGAGGTACTTAGGGTAAGTACATTTTTTCAGGCTTGGGAGTAGGTGGGAGTGATGAGTGAGCCTCTGGCTGGACAGCGGGTGGGGGTGGCATGGGCAGGGTGAGAGCCCCCGTTGCAGGCCGCAAGGACAGTGCATGTGGCAGAGGCACGTGAACGTGGTTTGTCCGACGGGCCGCTTCAGGAGGAGGGTCTGAGAAGGCTTGGGGTATGGCACAGGTCATTTAAGAGGCTTCAGTGCTGGTAATGTGGTGGAGAGAGATTAAGATCTCACCCAGTTAATGCGTATTCGTGTACATCTGCTCAAGGGATACGCTTAGATGACAAGGGGTTGGAAAAAGATTTGGGGGCGTCCTCTTGGGATCCTCACATTAGGGAACTGAGAAGGGGAGGAGGAAGCAGCACTGGGCAGAGCGGGCATTGAGCCTCCATGTCCTCTCAGCCAGTCCCGCTCCCCACAGCGTCAGTTCCCCAGCGCTGGTGTCTCATAACCTGTGGGGTTTCTGGATCTTGTGGTGCAGGCCGCAGGGGCTCTCGTCCACACCATCGCTCAGACCTGCCGCACAGCCCTTTCCTGCTTGGGGCCCCTCTCACAGCTGGCTGCCTGTTGTGTCACCGGGTGCGTGGGTCGGCACTGTCATCCCAGGTGTGGAAAGTGCTGCTGCTTGCAGGTCCTGAAGGGCCTACCAGCTCTTCTCCCGCTCTCCAGGGGAAGTGAGGTACAAGACGCACTAGTGTGTCCTGTACTGGGGGGGGCGTCCTGACGTGCCTCAGGCTGCCGGACTCCTGGAAACTACTTAGAGCACTGGCCTCTCAGTCTGCACAGGGCCTGGGCCTTTCCAGAAACTCCCACACACTGGCCACTTTGCACGTTGCATGTGAGTCGGTAGTGGGTAGTGGGTAGCATAATGTTCCTAATGTCGTGGGCTGGCGTGACGTTCTGCTGAAGGTCCAGATGTTCTGCGTTGATTCAGGCTGTCCTGAAACAGCTGGCAGGAGCATTAGCACAATCTGGTGGCAAAATGGTAAATGGAAATTGTTCCAAGTGAAAGTGTGGTCCTCTGTAGGGATAGAGATGGAAAAGAGCCCAGCGCTCACTCTGTCCACATGCCCTGTGCCTGAGGCCATATTAATCCGCTCTAGCAAAGGAAACCATCTGACGTGGAGGCCGTCACTGGGCTACTGCTTGTGTTCCTTGCGGTTCATTGTTCTCCCCCAGCATCAGCCGGTTGCGTGCGAGGACCAGGTTGGTGAGTTAGATGGAGACCGTCCCTGGTCCTGTACATTTTTAGGGGGAGTATTGATATAGTATTGATACCTGCCATTCCTCAGGATGGAGTATTTTTCACTTTCTACTTGGGTGAGCGGAGAGGACAGCGTCAAATTTAGAGGCTTCCTCTTGGCCTCTCCACTGTACAGCCCTTAGCCACGGGCCAAGAACTGAGTGGACCCGTGGAACCAGACCTGGCCCAGGATTCCCGTTTACAGCCTGGCCCTGTAGGTCCCACTCTAGTATGTGGCCCATGATGACACTTTGGGTTCCTGGGTGACAGCATAGCTGGACCCTCCTCTAGCAGTTCCTGGAGTATCTGGGTATTCCCCTTGGCCCAGTGTATGTTTACCCCCTGAAAGCACTTTACCGAGTGTGATCTCTGCGATGTTGCTGAGTCTCCCCCACCACCTCCCCTACCCATGGGAGACTGCGTTCAGCCACCCCTCCAGCCTTCCTGCTGGGATACTTCTGCCTCTCTCCAACACCCCGCAGGACTTTGCTGACTAAGTGCTTCCACGTCCCTCTGTTCTTTGGTGGACCGCCTTTCCCCTTACTCTTGGCCCAGTCTGTTAGCTGTGGCCAGCAGAGCGGCCAGCCCTGAACTTCTCCATGATGTCGGTGCCCCTCACCAGCACTGTCCTGTCGGCCTTGGCAATGGAGTATGCTCTGGGCCCTCCAGGGAGCATCAGTGTCCCATAGGTTTTGGCTCTTCATAGTTTCATCCGCTCTACTCTGTCCACTTCTCTGAGCCTTTTACTCCGGTCATCTGGTGCTGGCCATGGAACTGTCAGCAGTTCTTCCTCATTTAGTGTGGACTTGAGCTTCCTGCTTGGCCTCGTAACCATCTCTAGAGGCTGTTGCCAATGTGTTAAAGCCAGTATCCTGAGGTAGTGCTCCCCGTGAGCAAAACTTCTCTGTCCAGGTTGACATCCTACGCTTGTTGGCCCGGGACCTCAACGTTCCATCTGGTCTTTGCGGGTGCGGTTGCTGTGTCCTGCACTCTCTTCAGAGCACAGCCCCTCTCCTGCCTTAGCTGGACCAGCCCATCTGAGGCCTGGTGTGTCGTGACTTAAGCTTTACTGGCCCAGCAGCCAGGAGAGGAGATGGGATGCAGGAGTGGGGATATGGGCCTGTCTCGCAGGACGGAGGTCTGAATGCAAGGAGGACATTCTTGCTCTTCATAGGAAGAAGTAGTCACTTGTGCAGGCTCAGCAGGTTCAAGGAAATCTAGGGATTCAAGATTTTTAACCCACATGTCCCTCTCCCAGCTGCCACAGGCCGTTCTTTGCCTGTCCAAGTCAGGCCTTAGCATTCTAGCAGGCAAGAGATGAGCAGCTTCTTCACGTGCTACAGAGCTGTCCTCTGGCTCACACTTAGTGCTTAATTGTTGGTTAATTTTTCTCAGTTTTTTTGCGTTTTCTCCAGAGGTATCATGGAAGGCTGGCAATGCCCACAATTCTGCAGGCCTTATCAGTGCCATTTCCCCATAGATCTCAAGCACCAGCTACTGCGTATACTCTAATGCCTTCCCTCTTATGGTGTATCATCCCACTTAGCTCTTGCACTGTCGTCACCTTGTGCTCCCTCTCTCCCAACTGTCACCAGTGTCGTGTGCTCATTGTCAGCCAGGTGGGTGACGCAGCTCCAGACTCCCATGTAGCACCTTCCTCGAAACCATGCTAGCACCAGCTGTCACCGACTGGCTTCCTTTGAATCGAACTGCGTGATTATTTCTTAGGTTATCCCCTTGGGATCCTCACCTTGGGGAATGGAGAGGACAGGAGCAGGAGTGGGCACAGTAAGAAGTGCACTGTGATGTGTCCCAGCAAAGGCCCCGGCTAGCCTCAACAGGGTTCTCCAGAGCTGGGATGGCCCTTCAGCATTGTCCTGAGTTGGGGCAAAGGGTTGGGCCTTTATAGTCCTCGATGAGCCATTGGATATGGGCTGCCTCTGAAAGGAGGTGTGACCTGGGAATGCTGAGGTCACTCTCTCAGATGACTCTGAGCTAGCTGAGGGCCATCTGCTGACAACCAGCAGCCTTGCTGAGGTCGGTCTTAGGTGGCATCTCCCAGTGCCCCATATGTCATGACTGTCAGGCCCTGAGTTTGATCCTTTTTCTAGTTTTTCCACATAGCCATTTAACCAGTGTTAACTGATGAGCATTTTGTATGTTTCTGTCTTCAACAGAACTTAGAAACATCAAGTTAGAAAAGAAGTAGACGTAGTGCAACGAATTGGGTTTCTTTGCGGTTTCCCAAGACCTATGCTATCTAATATAAAAGCTACTAGCCATGTGTGACCACTCGAATTCAAATAAATGAAAATAAAACTAAGAATTCAGGGGTTTAGGCACATCTGGCTAGTGGCTCCTGTACTGACTGACGTAGGTGTGGAACATTCCCGCACCAGGGCCCGCCACTCTGCAGGTTCTTGTGAACCTCTCTTCAGGCGTCTTCCAGCCCTAAATATGTCCTTCCTTTTAGAATCTCCTTCCGGAAATTGTGCATGCATATGGTCTCCTTTTGCATGGTTTATTTTGGAATACTCTTAGACCTTCACAGGAAAATTCTGGTATCTGTTATTTTCAATATATATTTTCCAGAAATTTAGTCAAGGAGTTTAAGTCAAATGATAGTCAAGGAGTTTAAGATATGGATGAGCTATCTCTTCTGAAAGATTGAGAGGCCTATGTGTGTAGCCATCTGCCTTAGATAAGAATACTTAAATATCTACGACGTTTTATAAAATCCTATTGATCTTACCTGGTCACTAAGTGAAGCAATGGCAAGTAAAATGGAAAATTGTATTTAGTAATATTTTATCACATTTGTTTCTCAAGGAGGAAAGCCAAGCATCTGTGACTTCAGTGGATCCAGTTTTTCAAGTTCCAATTTCAAAGGCAGTTCAACTGACTACAAATGATGCCATAAAAACCACTCTTCTGGTGGAATTGGACATTTCAGTAAGTTACAGAATTTATCTCTCCGCGCTGTTGTCAGGAAGCACGGAGACTTGCGTGAGCGCCTCTACAGGACCTCTGGCGTCCGTACTCTTGACCCCTCATTTTTCCTTCCCACCTCACACCCATTTTTTTCACTTCAGGAAGGGGCTTAACATGAGGAGTGACCCTGCAGGTGACTCAGTTTGAAAGAACAGCGTTGCTCTCTTACCCAGTAAGCCACGGAAGAGTAATGGAGTCAGAGCAGCATTTTTGGTGTGAGAGGAGTCCTGAGAAGGCCCCTGCTCACCCGAGGTCAGCCAGTAGTTGGAAGTAGAGCTCAGGCCAGACGGGCCTACAATGCTGCATTTTTCACAGTGGTGGCCTCATTCCTTTGAGACTCTGGAAGAAGTCATGGCCCGCTCCCCACCCCCCAGGAACATAGTTCCATAGAAACATTTTCCAGAAGCTTTGGAGGCTCACGTGCTGCCTCTCACCTCCGTCCACAAGCCCACCCCTGCCCCAAACCACTGGCCTTGGTTAAGAAGCCACCTGCTCATCCTGTAATCTCAGTAAAGCTTGAGTTACGTCTTCGGAGTCACTCAGCTGTGTGTTTCGATGGAGGTCCTGGGAAGAGGGTTGTGCTTGCAGGAAAGGGTGTGTCAGGGCTGTGTGTGTAGATTTCAGTGAACCCCTCATGGGGAACAAATGACAAGCATCAAGACCAGGTGGTTTTGCTTACATACTGTTGAGTAGTTCCACATTCCGCATTTTAATATCCATATTGTTAAATATTCTTTGTCTACCAAAACATTTGTTTTTTTATTCTGTTCTATACTTTTGTCATAAAGTGGTGAGGGTTGGCCAGTAGGTGGGGTCAGGCTGTGCCCTTCACAGGCCAGGGCTGGGAGCACGTGTGGTCAGAGGCTCTCTCCGGATGCTGCCCTCGTTCTGCAGTCCTCCATAAATAGCCGTGCAGTGGAGGGTGGCTTGTCCAGCCCTCCTTCATGCACAGTGCCCAGCCAGGTGCTGTATGTAGTGTCCTGTGCTCAGTAAGGAAAACTAGTGTCATCTCCGACCCGTCTTCTTTCCCTAAAGAGAGGAAATTGAGAACCAGTGCAGACAGCCCTAAATGGTTTCTCTCCCTCATCATGGATGTTTTTATAAGAGGGGTTTTAACATTGGTAAAACATTACTTACTGAGACACCTTAAAAGAGAAAGCTTTTAACTAACATTGTAAAAAATACTGAAATGATTTAAAGCAAAACACTGGATAACTGGAATTTTTTTCTTTAAAGTAACTCTTTGAGTGCCTGGCTAGCATGTGACTCTTGATCTTGGGGTTATGAGTTTGAGGCCCATAATGTGTGTAGAAATTACTTAAAATTAAAAAAATAATAATTTGTAATGAAAATAGATTCGGGGGCACCTGGGTGGCTCAGTTGTTAGGTGTCTGCCTTCAGCTTGGGTCACGATCCCAGAGTCCTGGGATTGAGCCCCACATCGGGCTCCCTGTTTGGTGGGAAGCCTGCTTCTCCTTCTTCCACTCCCCCTGCTTCTTTTCCCTCTCTCACTATGTCGCTGTCAAGTAAATAAAATCTTAAAAAAAAATAGATTTGTTCAGTTGGGCTTATTTGTTTTTTGCAGTTAGAATCATTTTGTTTCTAATTCATATTTTTAAAGGATCATATAATAAAAGACATGCTTTTGTTACCCCACAACTAAAACTCTTTAACTCTTGGACTTTTTTTTTTTTCCTCTTTCATGTTGGTTGTTTTCTAGAAAACAGATTTTTCCTATCAGCCTGGAGATGCCTTCAATGTGATCTGTCCCAACAGTGATTCTGAGGTACAAAACCTTCTCCAAAGACTGCAGCTCACGGACAGAAGAGAACACTGTGTCCACTTGAAAATTAAGGAAGACACAAAAAAGAAAGGTACACCCCTGATCTCTTCTTAGAATGTCATTGGGCTAATGGTGACAAGTCTAAGGACCTCCTCCCCAGCCCTTTTGTGATGGCTGCACAGGTGGTCCGAGGTTGGCCACGGGTTGGTGGGCAGAATCCCAGCACCCTCTCTGGTTTGTGGGTTTCTTAACTTTCACATCAGGTACACTGAATGAGAGGATGGTGGATTTTATGCTTATTTGGACACTGCTGGACAGTAAAAATGTCCAGTAAGAATGCTGGACACTCTGCATCCAGAATGTAGCTGTAGTCTTGGAGAAGCCGGTGGATTCGTTGTGCTCATTTGTTAGTTTGCTTTTTGAGTTAGCATTATTTTGTTTCTGAGTTATACAAGAGTAGTCCTAAAATAAACGTTTATTATATGAACCTTTTTTAAAGTTTTTTTAATCATGTGTATTTATTTGCTTAGAATCTTGAACTGGAGTTCCATCAGTTTGAAATCCTTTTTGAGAATAATACACAGTGTTAGTGGACAAGTGCCATCTTTTGGCTTTTTGTTCCTTGGCTTTGGATAATTACCCTCTTGTTTGGTATACTTTGATTTGGTATCTTTATGAAACACAGCAGAGATTTATCTTTGGTAGATTTAGGATGAGGCTAATAATGCTATTGAATTTATAGTTCTTTTATTATTTTTTTTTTGTGTTTCTCCCACCCTGCATTCATTTTGAAAATTTTTTTGACTCCGCAAACATGGCCGCAAATCATGTTTATCTTGCTAGCACTGTGATGTGTACAGTTAATTGGTTTTTTAAGAAAGCAGAGATGTTTTGTTCTTCACTTTCTGTGTCACGGACTCCCTTCCTGTCTGTCTGAAAAGGAGCAGCCTTACCCCCGCATGTACCTGACGGACGCTCTCTCCGGTTCATTCTGACTTGGTGCCTTGAAATACGAGCAGTTCCTAAAAAGGTACTTTTCTTTGGGTAACTATTTAAAAGTGTACTCGTGCTGTGTAGGATTTATTAAATCTGACATTTGCCCTTTGAAGGCTTCGAAAATAAGGCTTTCGTACCATGTTTTCAAAAATGGATCCTAAAGGTACATTGTATTTTTGCAGTTGTCATAGATATTTTTGTGTTGCACTTGTATTGAAATTTTGTTTTCTATTGAAAAGAGGTTTTTAAAGTAGCGCTTTTTCTTATTTTTACTGGATATCCACTTGATGTACTACATTAATCAGTGATTCAGGTGACCCCACATGACCTTGTGTCAAGCAGCTGCCCTTTACCCTGACCCTTTCTGTGACTGATGACAGGAAGCTTAGGAGAGTTCAGGCCTTCCCCAACTTGTCACCCGTTTAATGTGTGAAAGCACATAATTCTTTACTGTTAAGTACATAATTCTTTATGTGTGAAAGTACCTAATTCTTTACTGTTAAGTCAGAATTCATCAGGAAACATGAAAGGTTCTGGGAGATTCGACTGATGTTTGGATGAACGTGGAGAGAATGAGGCACTAGATGTCAGTAGGGTTCCGGGAGCTGTCTTTTAAAATGTGCTCCTATCTGAGCCTGTCCCTCACGTGGGTGTGAATGGGGAGACCTCCCAGCTGTGCCTTGCCAAATTCGTATTGCCAGTGCCCATAAATAGTGCTGTTATCAGGCTGCCCTCCACAAGGCCTTTTTTATGCTCTATCTTATTAATGTGCTTGTTGCATGCAGTCTTTGGGAAGCAAACTCCTTTGGAGAGAGGCTCAGACCTAGATAGGATTTGAATAAATGTGGTAGTCACTGTGATGAGAACTTCTTGAATAAATACAGTCAGTTTCACAATTTTAGTTCAGCTCTACCTGTCATAAAGCATTGCAGGTAAACAGGTTTTTCCGTACTATAAAAGTAATGCACTGATAAAAATTCTGGACCCAGAATTAAGTAACTTGGGAAACAGAAGTCCTTTATAATCAAATCCTCAGGCTTAATGCTTGAATTTTGTTTTGCTAAGAAGAAAATGAGATCTTCTAGTATGTACGCTGTTCTGTCTCGTCTTCTTTACCCAAATAGAGCTCGGGAGTTTGTATACCCCAGCACGGAGAAGGTCTCTTACCAGACGTCCGCGCAGAGACACGGGTGCACACTCATCCCACGTGGCTTCCCAAGGTTGTTCCGCGTTTGGCTCTGAGCCCGGCATTTTGAAGAAGGCATGCGGTGTGCTGGCCTCAGGCTAGTTGCGGCAGGGCTTCTGAGCGGGGCCATAGGGACCTGTGGCCCTGACACGGAGTGATCCCTGGTGAGCGAGTCCAGGACACAAAGCTGCTTGAGCCATGGAATAAAAAGTCCCTGTTAGCATTTCACTTAGCATTTGATGTAGATTGCGTGCTTAATTGCTTTGTTCTTAACCCTTGAGTGGCCAGAGCTATATGTGTCGTATTCGGAATATGTTGAAACCAGAAGTCGTTATTAGCAAGTTTGGTCTTTTGTCCAAGAGTTTGGGCTTGGGATTCCGGAAGTTATTGCTTTGCTTTCTTCGTTTATATTCTCGTCCTCTTTCTCCAGTGAGTCTGAGACGACTAAGAGTCCGTGTGCAGGAGGCTTCTAGAGGTTCTCGCCCTGCTGGTCTTTTCAGCCTTCGTCCCGTGTCCGCATGGCCTGGGGCCCACATGGAACTGCGTGTGGCCCCGGGAGCGAGCCTTTGCCTGCCTCCTGCGCGCTCCTGCCGTGGGTTTTCGGCTTACTGCTGCTTCACACTTTCTTCTGTGGGCGGCCCTCAGCCCCCGCTTGCGCTCTGGCGCACCTTCGGCTTCAGAAGCCCCTGACCTCCTGGGTGTGCCCCTGTTGGGGTAGTTGGCCTCTTGCACGCTGTCCCTGGCCGGTGAGCCCTTGTCAGCAAAGGAGCTGTCATGCCACTGCCTGTTGGATAAAGAGCACTTAGCAGTTGTCAGATGAACGCAGAAGTCTGGCTTGTAATCATCCACTGAGAGAAGAACAAGCATTTTGTCTTGAGTTAAAGCGATGAGTTAGGAGATCGCTCATCATTGTCACTCAGAGATATTGGACACGTAATTTGGGATCATACTTGGGACCGATGAGGTTGGTTTAGGAAACAGAAAAGGTGGCTAAAAGGAGAACGTGGAAGGTGATTTTTCTTAACAGGCTGACATTAAAGCAAATAAGTTAAATTCTCTTTTCTTGATCGAACTCCAAAGGGCGCTGTCATTTTTTCTTGGGTCACTGCGCACATCCCCAGCTCGATCCTAACCAGATTCTAGCAGCCTGACCACACGAGGTACTTTCCGTCTGCTCCCTTTGTCTTGGCCGCAGGCGTTGTTACGAGCCCTCGTGGACCACACCAGCAACGGGCGGGAGAAGCGAAGGCTGCAGGAACTGTGCAGCCGGGAGGGCGCGGCCGATTACAACCGTTTCGTGCGGGACGAGCGCACCAGCTTGTTAGACCTCCTCCTCGCTTTCCCGTCCTGCCAGCCGCCGCTCCGTCTCCTGCTCGGTGAGTGCCACTCTGCGAGCCCCTGCGCCAGCGGGCCTTCTGGTGCACAGCCCTCTGCTTGTCGGCCTCCCTCCACAGGCTGTCTGGCACCTGGGGACACGTCTCCTTGAGGAGACATCAGAGTGTGTGTTCAGGGCCTCCTGCGAGTGGGAAGGAATCCCTCTGCTGAGATGGCCTGGCTCCTATTTCTTCCTACTACCATCATCACCAGCCCTTGCTCTCTCACGACAGCCAGCCCTAATTCTCTTTCCTGGGGTCAGCGTGCAGCATCCTGTCTACTCAGTTAGCTTGTTTTCAGAAAGGTTTTTTTTTTTTTAGTCCAATGTAACCTAAAAATGAGTTTCCCAACAAAAAAAAAAAAGACTTTTTTTTTTCAAAGCTGATGAACATTAGATGTAATTGACAGAGGTTAATGCAGTGTGCTATCTGTGTGGAAGACAGAAAGGCCGCATCTGGCCAAGCCCATCTCTGGGTTTGGTGAGGGCAGCGGGGACCCCCCCCCCCCCCACCGCCATGCCAGGGCAAGTGGCCTTGTTCAGAGTGCTCCAGGCTTGAAGCTGGGGCAAGACCTGTCACCAAATGCTCATATGTAAGGTGATTCTGGTTTTTGTCCTCACTGGCTCCTGGGGTCTTCATGCCCACAGAAGAGAGAAGATCTGCCTGAGGCACTGGGGTCAGCAGAGGGGGTTACCAAGGCAGCCTTGCTAGGGATCGGGGACATTTACGAGGGGCAGCGACTATGAGAACTGGACAGGATTCTTAAACTTTGAGTACTTCCTGTGCTGGTAATTTTCTCCTCTCCTCTCTTTTTTCCTGTAGGGATAAGTATAAAGTCTCCAAAATTTGAATTTATCTTCGGTGATAGGAAAATGTGTATTGTGCTTTTCACTTTTAGGCTCCAGGATCCCCCGATGTCCAGTACAGTTCAGGGTGCTCTCCTTTATTAAGTCAGATCCTGCTTTCTCTCCCTTTTATTATTCCTTTTCCCTCTCAAAATGGCAACGTTACTAAATGATGTTGCTCTTCCCACTTGCCTGTATTCAAACACACACTCCTCCCCTTCTCCGTTCAGAATGAATGCAGGGGTTGGGAGACTAATCAGAACATATGTGGGGAAGTTTTTAGAATTCTTGTAAAGCTGTCCCGCATATGACAGTGTTTCAGTTCTTTGTGTGGATTTGCTGTTTTTTTTTTTTTTTAAGCTTGTATATAGCATTTATTATGTAGTTCTATAAAAAACTGATAAAAGCATTGAGACTTAAAGAAATTTATTTTCCACTTCTTTAAGTAAACATATCTAGAGCTTAGTATTATGTTGAGCTCTCTATTAAGCTTATTCTTTTATTTATTAAATTTTAGAAAGGTCTTTCTGAATCTTTGCCAGATAACTATTGAAAATATAGGCTTGAACAGAAAAAAATTTCAGAGTTTGTCTGTGGGCAGTTAAGTATTCAAAGATTGATTCTTTGACCTGCTTTTACTTATTTATTTATTAAAAGATTTTATTTATTTATTTGACAGAGAGACAGTGAGAGAGGGAGCACAAGTAGGGGAAGCAGGAGAGGGAGAAGCAGGCTTCCTTCTGAGCAGGGAGACCGATGATGTGGGGCTCGATCCCAGGACTGTGGGTTCATGACCCAAGCCGAAGGCAGGTTCTTAACCAACTGAGCCACCCAGGCGCCCCTTTGTCCTGCTTTTAAAAGAGCTCCAATGTATCAGAAACCACTGGGGCCTGGGTAACTTAAAGGTTTTATCACTACGCTCTCATTTTGTTGTTATAGAAATATAAGAAGGAAAAATATTTTTTTATTAAGAAGGAAAAATATTTTAAGCTTAGGTATTTCCCATTTCCCATAATCCTTAAAATAGTGATCTTTAACCTTTTGGGGGGTCATGATCTTATTTCAAATATGAAAATTCTGGACACTTCTGTAGAAAACTGTGTACACACAGAAAATTTAATGGGTTTCTTGATTCTGAAACCCATTCGTGGATGCTTTTATTATCCTTTGGTTTAAAAAACCAGCCTTTAGAATGACACTGATTTTAGGTAAAGAAATGCAGTATGTCTGGTTTTTAACGTGAGGAATTGGAAAAAAATATTCAGTAGAGACTTAGGCACAGTGAATTTACACTTGCTCTAAAATATGACTTAAATTAAAATGTTATTTTGGGTGTTCTAAATAAGAAAAATCCAACTCAGGCTTGAATTTTTACAAATCCTTACATATAATTCTCAGTAGCAGTGAATTAATTGCTTTTTTTTTTTTTTTTCCCAGAACATCTTCCTAAGCTCCAGCCCAGACCGTATTCATGTGCGAGGTACTGATGTTTATTAACATACAACATCTTTAAAACAAAACAAAACAAAAAAAAACATAAAGCATCTTTCTTCCAAAATGTTGTGAATCTCTGGCTTCTAAATCCTTATTACCCAGTGAAAACGTACCTGATTTGCGGACAACAGCAGGCATGGTAAGGAACGGAGGAGGCGGGTGTTGGGACTCCCGTCCTGTGGGCGTGCAGAGAAGGCAGAGTCTCCAGCAGCACAACCACATTGTGGTCCACAGCCACGTTTCCCCAGGTCAGGCTGTGAGTGCCTTGCTCCTCTACCTGCTGCCTTTATGGCCGGGCCAGGCCATCTCTCACTGGGCGGCAGAGGCGGGTGGTGGGGAGATGAAAAGTTGTATCCATCATACGGAGTCTTAAAGCAAACAGGTCGTTGGAAACTTCCGAATATCACAAAACGGGGGGCAGGAGAGGAGGAGCTTTTAAGGAGCAACAGAGCTCTTTCCCCTGAAAAGTAGATGATAGAGAACAGCCCACAGGAAAAATCCTTCAGTTTAGGAAAAAAGGCTGCATCCGGCCTGTATGCATTAGTCCTGATACAGAGTTTAAAACTGACCTGTGTGTCTCTGCAGCTCAAACCTGTCGCACCCCGGGAAGCTTCGTTTCATTTTCAACATTGTGGAGTTTCTGTCTAACACCACGGAGGAGGTTCTGCGGAAGGGCGTGTGCACAGGCTGGCTGGCCGCGGTGGTCGCATCAGTTCTTCATCCAGACGTGCGAGTGTCCCGTGCTGAAGGCGGGAAGGCCCCGGCTCCAGAGGTACTGGGAGCGCACGGTTTGGGCGTTGCTAGAATTACGCTGTTTGCCTAGTTAGGAAGAACGATGTGGTCTCCCCTGTGTTGCCATCAAGTTTATTCAAAGGAAAATGTTTGTCCTACTTGAATTTTAAAATCTCTGTTGGAAAGTCAGGAAAACATTACTTTTTTCATTTACTATTTTTTTAAATTTTTTAAAAGATTTTATTTATTACTTATTTGACAGAGATCACAAGCAGGCAGAGAGGCAGGCAGAGAGAGAGGGGGAAGCAGGCTCCCTGCTGAGCAGAGAGCCCGGTGTGGGGCTCGATCCCAGGACCCTGAGATCATGACCTGAGCCGAAGACAGAGGCTTAACCCACTGAGCCACCCAGGCGCCCCGTTCAATTACTATTAAAATCCGTGTATTTCTCGAATATATAAAGTGTGAATTTTCCATAATAGTCTTTTCTCCTTCCTCGTCATATTCATAGACAAGACGGTCTTTTTGGCTAATACTCTTGGAAGACTGAGCACAGGAAAAGAGCCAAGTAAAGACTGAAGGCCGGTGTTGAGAGACAGCCTCGTCGTCTGTGTAGACCATACCGTGTCCCAGATGAATCCTTACTTGGCAGTCCGTTCACAACCAAAGAGTAACTTTGTCCTTCAGTTTGGGGTAGTAGGATTTTTGCTCTGTTTCTTCCCTTTTTGTCTTAGTGTGGTGTAGAATCCAAATTAGTGCTCTTCGTGTGAAGGCATAATGAGGGGGAGGCACTTTTGAAACATGTAGGAGATGCATCCTCCTTGATAATTATCGAGTGAGTGAGTGAGTGACCAAACCGAGGACACATTTACATGCGGACTTAGTGCCATCCTTCATGCTTTGGTATAGTACTTGGCAAATCTCACTCAGGACCACAGTATAAGTCCCTTCTTGCCCATAAGGATGGTTGAAATGAAACGAAACCTTTCAGGTTTTATCATGAAGTCGTCTTTTTCTGTGGTATTGAAAAAATGAACACGTCGTTTGTAGCATTATCTTAGGACTGGTTTGGTTGCTGTAAGTTATTGGAGTTGAAAAGTTCATGCCCTAAGGGGAAAGTAAGACTTCAGTATATACTTGAGAGGGCTCATGGGAAGCTGCTGCTTGAAATTGCCCTTTTCCGTGGTATTTTCCCATAATGCATCAACAAAATATTAAGAACTTGAGACACTCACTGTTCCTTTTTTGAAAAGAAATATTATGGTATGGATATAAAAGTATTATGTCATTTTATGATCCTATAAAAATGGTTGCTCTCCAGAAAGTTTAAGAAATAGATATATCCATAACCTATCCCAAACACCCAGCATGGGTGCTATTCATGCATTCATTCTTTCCTTCCTTCTGCCTTTTTCTCTTTTCTCCATTTTAACAGAGCTTAATTATAGACTGCCTACTATTCAGGCATTGGAGGTATGGGAATAAGGATACAATTTAAATTGGCGCTTACTGCCGTGCATATTTTATAGGAAGTGTGGAGAATGTTCACATTCACATGACCCACCCACACTCTCCTCCAGCTGGTGGATGTTGACAGATACCCCGTCCTTGGGAAGCATAGGGTGCCCCGCCCATGATGTGCAGTCTGGCTGTGACCCCTCTGAGCGGGAGTGCTGCGCACCTGCTGGTGGGGCTTGTTTCTCCTCTTTGACGGAAGGATGGGAGGATGCAGGTCAGGGATGCCCCTGGGGCTTGGCTGCAAGTGGGGGGTACCTGGGCTACAGAGCTGTAGCCTACCTGTGGCCTTTAAGGAGAGCCAGGCAGAAGTGTTTGCTGTTGTCAACCATTTGAGGTGACTGCAGCGAGAGTGGGCCAATCCTGGTCTCCTTACAGTCCCTAGAACGCAGATGGTGTGCTCTCACTGCACGCTGCGGTCCAGCCCAGGGTTTCCTGCTCTGGTTTGCTTCATGGATCTTATTTCCAGTCATTTTATAGATAAATGTTTGATTATTGTCTCTTCCTCCCAATAGAATGTAAGTCCATGAGGACAGGATTCTCTTCTTTCTCCGTCTGTAGTGTGTGTCATACTGAGTACCATCCGTGAGACTGGTAAGTGGGTGGCCAAGTGAGACTCATGTGAGACGAATGACAGTCTCATTGCAGAATGCCAGGACTCATCTCCCATCGCTCTGCCAGTTCTTTCCTGTCTGTCCTGTCAAAATTCAAAAGGTTTTCTTTACGTCAAAGGTTAAAATGTGCGCCATTACACCCAGAACAGATTCCTGTGACTTGGTGTAACTCACTCATATGGCGAAGTGACACGGGAACTGAAATATATTTAGATCGATTCCTCGTACGTATCCCTAGCACATGGTTTAGGAGAAAAATCTTTGGAAATTTTAGCAAAAAGATTGTCTTTATCTGTGCGTGCTGCTTATTCCTCTGGTTTTGCACGAACACGTAACATTGAACTTAGATTAACAAACATAACACAGTCCTTCAGTGTCTTTGGAGCGACACCCTCAGTTTTCCTTCAGGTGCCAGTTTGCCCTTGAAGTGCTCACTCCATCTGGATGCTGGTCTTCGTTGCCCCTTTATGTGCAAACACAGAATCCTAACCGTGGTTTGCCATGCACTTCTCCATAGTGCAGATGGTGGGTTGCCTACTAGGAGGTGTGTGTTTCTCATGGGCCTAGGAAAAGGATTTGTATCAGTGTTCTCCCTTAGAAATATGCTTGTGATTTCTAAAGCACTTTTGATTTTGATGGAAAAGAAAAATTTGCGGGGTGCCTAGGTGGCTCAGGGGGTTAAGCCTCTGCTTTTGGCTCAGGTCATGATCTCAGAGTCCTGGGATCGAGCCCCACATCAGGCTCTCTGCTCAGCGGGGAGTCTGCTTCCTCCTCTCTCTCTCTCTGCCTGCCTCTCTGCCTACTTGTGATCTCTGTCTGTCAAATAAATAAATAAATAAATAAATAAATAAATCTATCTTAAAAAAAAAAAAGAAAAGAAAAATTTGTAAGACAGATTTTGTTTTTCTCTGTAATGACAAATGTGTTCATGGTTTCAGTAAGATTTAATCCTGCTGTTTTCTTTAGCAAAGATCATCTTGGTTATATGCTTTTGTCTAGGTTTTCTTTCAGACTTATGAGCATTGGTTTAACATTCCAGATATCTATCTCTCCTCGAACAACCAATTTTTTCCACTTACCGAGTGACCCCTCTGCCCCCATCATAATGGTGGGTCCGGGAACTGGCGTAGCGCCCTTCATTGGTTTCCTGCAACACAGGTGTGTGCTTTCTTTGACTGCTGAGAAAATGTATCCCTTGTGATCCTCAGTGGAAATATGGTAGCCTTTTTGTCTCTTTAGTGATTTTCTTTAAATATCAGACTTCAGTTGTGAAGTTTTTATTTTAAAAATTACTATCAAATGTGTGATAGCATAGCATAATTTGTCACCATGGGAAAAGTAAGCGTGATGTCTTCCAGAGGTTTTGTTTTGTATTAGAACTTTCCTTTTTACTGTAGCACTTTTTTTCCCCCTAGCTGCACTATAGTTTATAATGTATGTAGTTGGGGACAAATTTCAGGCACACCTTTATGCTGTGATGATGCACGGGCTGTTCCTTGACTAGATAAAATTGCTACTAACAGATCCAATTACACCAGAAGTTTCTAAGTTAAACCCAAATATCAGTAATTTTCAGCTGATTGCTATTATAGAACTATATGACATGAAAGAAATTGTGCTTCTCTCCATGTTTGTGAGATAATGAACAATTCTTCGTGTGCCGGTCCACAGATAGTGGTGTAATATCCTTTGGACAAGGTCTTTTTGTTGTTTTTATCCTTAGTTTTTTCTTTTAAGGAAGCAGAGAATAATGGCAGACATAGTCAGCGAGTCTCCTTGCTGTGTCATTCCTGAAACCATTCACGGCAGATCATTCTACCTTTTAAAACCCTGGGCCACTTTCTCTTACGTTGATTGAGAGTTAATTTCATTCACAAAGTTTTTATTAATTTTTAATGTAGAAATTAGTGTAGGTTTCACACTGGGATATTTTGAATTATCCTCATAGATGTACAGAGCTTGTAGGTGTCCGTAGCCAACAGATGCGCGTGCTTGTCGGGGTGTCTGCTGGGGCGCTTGGGAGCCCAGTGGGCAGGACGACGTTACCTCAGTGGCTAAACTCACAGTGACGGTGAATCCTGTCTGGATTGGTTGGTGACGTTTCTGACCAAATAGATGGGTTTTACATATTCTTTCTACCCTATCTCTGCTTTTCCACGTAGAGAGAAACTCCAAGAACAAAATCCAGATGGGCACTTCGGAGCAATGTGGTTGTTTTTTGGCTGCCGACACAAAGATAGGGATTATTTATTCAGGTACTGTGTGATTCTGGTACTGGAGGACCCAGCAGCGGGCCTGCAGTTCTCATTTCAGACCTTGTAACCGTCAGTGACAAACCTTTCAGTATCCCGTTACATGCTGTGTTTCAGAGAAGAGCTCAGACGTTTCCACCAGCGCGGAGTCCTAACTCACTTGAAGGTTTCCTTCTCAAGAGATGCTCCTATTGGGGAGGAGGACGCCCCAGTGAAGTACGTGCAGGACAACATCCGGCTTCACAGCGAGCAGGTGGCGAGGCTCCTTCTTCATGAGCGCGGCCACATTTACGTGTGTGGGTACGTGGCCGTCACCCAGATGCTGGGCGGACTGAATGAACTGGGACCATTAATAATCTAGACGGGGACGAAAGGTTTGATTCTTAAGTACTGGAATAGAAATACAAGTTCTGAAATGACTTTAATATACATTTCATAGCCAAGACGTTAACGTTATCAGGGAAATAGAAGTGAAAGCAGCTCTTGCGTTTCAGAGTACATGGTGCCGTCTGGTACATGTTTTAGCCTCCAGAAGTTCTGTTTGGTGTTAAGATGCTAATCATTGAAGTCTCAGGATTGATTTGTTGTATCTAAGAATATGTGATTTATGCATTTGACCTGGCTAAGGAAAACTGTGGCTTTGACTCTGAGAATGTGGATCTAAAGATTTTTTTTTAAGGCATAATTTGTAATGTCAAAATTGTCAATAAGCCAGGAATCATTTTTATGTTAAGTTTTATATGCTTTCTGAGGCAAGATCTGTTACAGAAACTCAAAATTGCTCTATTCTCTACAAAGTGTAGATAAAAATAAAAAATAAAAGTTTTAGAAACTTACCAACTTGTATTAATGGAATTTAAAATATACTGTGTTAATTAAAAAGATCTTTTGAGTAAGAAATAGCTCTTTTAAATTCTGGCACATCCCAGGCATTTAAAAACTTATATACATCACCAAGTTAGGTGTGGGTTTTTTTTTCTTTCTTTCTTTTATTTTTTCAAGATTTTATTTATTTGACAGAGAGAGAGAGATCACAAGGAGGCAGAGCGGCAGGCAGAGAGAAAGGGGGAAGCAGGCTCCCCACTGAGCAGAGAGCCCGATGTGGGACTTGATCCCAGGATCCTGAGATCATGACCTGAGCTGAAGGGAAAGGCTTAACCCACTGAGCCACCCAGGTGCCCCCTGTTTTGTTTTTAACTGTGATACCAAAGGAGAAATACTGGTACATGGACCTAGAACAGATATAAATATAATAGAAACAGGTTTTATAAAACAGAACTTTTTCTGTTTACTTCTATGATATAGTGTGATAATTTCTGTTTCATTGTTTTTTAAACACTGATTTTGCCTCCCAAGTTGACTTTATGACCTGTTCATGGATTTTTGACTCTCAGTTGAGAAACCCTACTTTAGGTTGATAAAGGGCACAGATTCTGGACATTGTGTTGGTTTACATTTTCAGTTAGCTTTTAAAGAAGTGTCTGACCCTCACTTTGTAGAGGATAGAGCTGTCAGTGTTGAAGAACAGGCTGGAGTTTTAAAGATTGATTTATTTATTTGAGAGCGAGAGCATGAGCACAAGCGGGGGGAGTGGCAGAGGCAGAGGGAGAAGCAGACCCCCATCTGAGCAGGGAGCCTGATGCAGGAATCGATACCAGGACTCTGGGATTGAGACCTGAGCCGAAGGCAGAGGTATAACCGACTGAGCCCCCCAAGCGCCCTCAGGCTGGAGTTTTAGATGTGCGTCTAACTAGTAGAGGCATAGTTAGTTGTACAAATACATGAATAACTGGTAAATGACAGCTTGGGAATATGTCAAACGTCCCAACACGTTAGCCCAGAAATCGCTTTACAATCCCTGGTGCTTCCATTCTTCGTCTGCACAGCGGAGTTGATAGTGTTCATGGTGGTCAGTGGTGTGGGCTCGGAGTGAGACCCCATGGCACCCTAACACGGACCAGCCCCTCGGAAGGAGTGAATTTGTCCCTGAGTCCAGGGGACACTCCCAAGCAGGGGCGCCTTATGCTCTGATAGTCAAGAAGACAGAGGGGCTGGTAGGTTTGGCCGCTGGCGGCCGCTGGTGCCGGGGGAGCAGTCGTGGGGCTGGCCGCTCCGTCGTAGTGCTTGAGGGGAAGCCGTGATGGAGGAAGTCGCGGTGGCCGCTGGAGACCCCTTTTTCAAGAAATGTCACTGTAAGGGACAGGACAAGTTCTCTTGCTGACATATTAGTGTCCTGTCCAGTTTTCCTCACTCAACAGCATTCGATGCCTCCCGAGGGCTCTGGCCCGGTTCAGGTGTTGAGAGATGCAAGGTGCAGCGAGGCCCACCCCCCGCCGGCAGACTGCCCACTCTCTGGTGGGAAAGGAGGTGCCGTGGCGGGGCTGGAGGGGGACTCGGGGGCCCCTCCCCAGTCCTGTGAACGAATACGCTAAAACCGGTCAGCACTGAGAGCCGGGCCCACAGCTGGGGTGTCAGTGGTTGTGTCTGTTGGGGATGGGACGCATGTGTGTGTGCACACGTACGTACATGAAGGCTTGTAGGCGTAAAACCCTGTTGCCCTTGGGAACGCAGTTTCCGCCGTGTGCCCGGGGGATGAAGGGCGGGGATGAAAGCAACTCGAGGAGCCAGGTCCGTGAGGTCCCTCGACACTAACTGAAGACTCAGCTGCTCCTGGAACAGGGACACCTGTGAGGGGCTTTCAGCTGTGAATGACGGGGTCGGCTTTGCGCATTGGGTTGGTCCCTGGGGAGAGGCCTGACGGATGATAGGCTGGGACACCTGTTGGGACGCTTCCTGGAGAAAAGGAGGGCCAGGGTGAGTGGTGGTGGCGTCAGTGGGAGTTAGATTTGTGAATTATGGAGGCTTCGGTAAAAATTCTTGTTTTCTGAACACAGATGCTGTTCTTTTTTCTAGAGATGCTAAGAATATGGCCAAAGACGTCAATGACACCCTTGTGGAGATAATCAGCAAACAGGCTGGAGTTGAAAAGCTAGACGCACTGAAAACGTTGGCTACTTTGAAAGAAGAAAAACGGTATCTTCAGGACATTTGGTCATAAAATCAGAAAATAAAGGAAGAGCATGATGCTTTTTTTGGCTAAAAGTAGTAAAAGACTGTTTGGCTGAAACCGACTTTCCATTTTTAAAATTAAAAAAAATTTTGGAGGAGGTAGAGTGGGAGCGGCCACCTTCCCGTGACAGCAGCCTCTCCATCGGGTTTTCCCGCAGCGCTGGCTTCAGCCTGGAGGCCGCCTGAGCTGAGGGGCGCCACTGTGTCCTAGAAAACGTCACAGGTGCCGCCTCTGGATCACAGGAAGGTGTCTCTCTGCGTGTGATGAGGTTTCCTGGCATGGACATGGGCACGCGCGCCCACCGCATAGATGGTTACAGTCTGTGAACTTATGTTGCCAGTTTTTAAAATAAGGAAAAAATAATTTATTTTTCTATGAACTCTCCCGTAAAGAATGCCTATTAATGTACTGAAATTAACTCAGTACAGCATATCTGATTACTTGTTCATCTGGACAGTCCCGGACGTGCGAGTGACAACGGTGTAAAGCCGTACGCGGTCAGCAGAGACAGCCCAAGTTCGAGTGTGTGTCTCTTCCTGGGCTGCTGGCGACTGATCACCTCCGCTCTCCTGACGCTGGGCAGTGGCGCCGGTCTCCGGGCCCAGCAGCCGTTGGTGCCCACACAACCATTCTCTCACCTCCTACGGCGTTCAGTTAGTAACATGAGATCCTCCCTGTTGCGTGACTGCGGGCTCCCCTAAGTGCTCTGAGCACGTGTGAGGAAGGTGAGGCCCAGCTGTGATGTTCGGTGTCTTAAGTGCCCTTTGACCTAATGATATTTTCAACTTACCATGGATTTATTGGGATGTAACTTCACTATAAGTTAAGGAAGATCTGTATAACTTTATCAAATGGTTATTTATTACCAAAGCTATATTTCTGATAAAATATTAAGGTAACACTTAGAGATATTTTTAAAATGACTTTAGAAATGCAAAATATATTTTAAAATTCTTTTATATGATTTATCACAATTGATAATATCACAGTTCTAGAATTTAGGAAATTTGTATCCTGTGTATAGGTGCAAGCCTGTACATATTTTAGTAAAAGTATAATCCCTCCTACTCTTCCTCTGTGCTCTTTTTGGCATATTTTTTTAGTTTTTCTACATTAACCCCATGATATCAAATTGTATCCTGGGCTTAAAATGCCTGCTTAAATTAGTATCTTTGTATTTTTAAAAGTTCCTACCATTCTGAATATTTACGTCCCTCCAAATTCCTACGTTCCAGTCCTAACCTCCATTACGATGACCTTAAGAGGTGGGGCCTCTGGGAGGTGCTTAGGTCATGAGTGGGGAGCCCTCCAGCTTGGGATCTGTGCCCTGATGGGAGGCCCCCCAGAGCTCGGGCTCCTTCTGCCCATCCCACCCATACCCCACTCCTGGACTTCAGCCTCCAGGACGGAGAGAAAGAAATCCTTATTTATGAACCGCCACTGTCTGGTGTTTTATTACAAGCCACCCAAATGGACTATGACAATTCCTAGTGACAAATTCTCTTAAAATTTGTCAGAACAGAAGACAGTGTAAAAGGGTATGATTAATTTTTCTAGGCTCTGGTGTATATGGGTTTTTTATTCAGGAGATTGGCATTTCAAAAACATCTACCTGTCAAAGGTTTCTGGTCATTTTGAAAAAATAACAATGTTAAGATTTGATAAAGCTTTATGGCTGTTTAATGTCTAGTCATATTTCTTACATCTTGTAATGGAAACAGATCTACAAGGTAGAACATGTCATGCAAATCTGGTTACAGACCCAATTCTATGCATATGCTGTATACATCAGTCAGAGCAGACAAGATGAGAACATTCAAAAGGACAAGGTTCTTTACTGATAAGTGTAACAAAGGGGAACAAGAACTTGTGTTCACCTGCCATGTTGTCTATGAACGTGGCCCCAAAGCTGACCTGGAAAGAGAAACTGACAAATACGCCTTCCCAGTGGGTGCTGGCACCTGCCCTTAGCCGTCTGGTCTCCCTCCAGCAACCCCCTTACTTCCTTAGGCAGCGGTAGACGCCCAGCGTGCTTAGGTGTGCTTAGCGGAGTTAGAGCTCTATAGGTCCACGGCCTGTCTTTCCAGGTGGTTTCAACTTTCCAGGGGCAGGATTATGTCCCTCTTACCACCGTGGGCTGCCCCCCCCGCCCCCCGGAGCCCAGGGGCTGGACACAGTGCTGCTGTAGGGCCAAGCCTCGGGCACTCCCCGGGGGCCTCAGGTAATTGAGCTGTGTGTAGGGGTGGGGAGCACCCCCTGACTACCCAAACTCCATCAGATCTTGAACACCACTGGTTTCACCAACAAGAGATCCTTTCCAACCTCAGTCATTCTAACAAGCTGCTGTCGGACACGTGGTTTTCAGTACCAATGCTGATCACCGAGGAGCTGGGCGGCCAGCTGTCTGCAATGTGGGTTTTTTTAATAGAGTGCTAACTACACCCAAGCATTCTTTACTCTGCGTATCTGGGCCAAAGTATCCTATACTGAGTCAGATAAGACAGAATTCGAATTTGACAGTTAAAAAACTAGATGTATATGCCACAGCTGGAAAAATAGTTCCCTCATTGCTTTCCAATATACTTGATTGGAAATTGATTATAAACTAGGCCATGGAGAAAACAGTTGCATAAAATAAGGCATGTTCTCTGACCCTAATGGAGTTAAACACTAAGCTGTAGAAAGCAATCCACAAAGCACATAATAAAAACAACAGGCCATTGACTCATGGCGTAGGAGGAAATAATGGATCACAGGATATTTGGGACTGATTTAGACTACTAAATGTGAATGTGGGATACAGCCAAAACAATACCCGGGGGGGGGGGGGCGGTAGTTCCTGCAGGCCACAGGTGGTTGAGAGTGCTTTGTCAAGTACTGCTCAGTACTGCGGGTAAGCCATGAGCGAAACAGCCTCTGTTCTCAGGAAGCTCACATTTGTAAGTGGAGAAGAGACCTGTCGGTGAGTAAGCGATGGACTGGTTACATGTGTCTGAGGAGGTGGTCCAGGCTGCGGTGGGAAGGAGGTCTGGTCCACAGTATTCCAGGGGCCAGGCAACCTCAGGGGAGTCGGGGACAGTCTCACTGGAAAAGGGAAAACTTGAACAAGAGAGCTGATGTGGGAAACAGGCAAAAAAAAATGTTCTTACTACTTAGGCCCATTGACAGGTCCTTGAAACAGGCAGAGTGATGTTCCTCTAGGAGCTCAGCTCCTCAAAGTTAATACCTTGCTAAGGGCAAAAGGTGATCTTGGCCAGACTCTCCAGGATCCCGTGAGTCCACTTTAATATATAGAAATTCCTTTGGGATCTTCGATTATCTCTACCCCCAAGATACATGTTGGCAGTCATCCCCGAAGCATATGACCCATCGATAGACACCTGAAGGGGCTTCATGACCTGGGAAACACAGGTGGAAGAAAAACTTAAATTTCCTTACTACCTACAGCCCGTTGACAAGTCCTTGAAGCAGGCAGAGTGACATTCCTCTAGGGACTCAACTTCGTTGATGTTGACCGTTTGCTAAGGGCAAAAGGCAATCCTAGCCTGACCCCTGCCCCCCCAAGATACATGTTGGCAATCATCCCCCAACCATGTGACCCACCGATATACATCTGAAGGGTTTTATCAGGTGGTAATAAATGACCTTTTCCCAAAAATAGCTAGCCCCCTCTGGTCCTGGAAAACTTGCTTCCAAAATTCCTTAGACTTAGGAAGTCTATCCCTAACCCCTAAGTTTATCCCTATCCCTAACCTCCTCCCAACTTGAAAGTGTACAATCAGCCACTAATGACCCCAGTGCAGGTCTTTCTGCCAATTGGTGCTGTCCCTGTGCTTTAAAAACACCCACCACCTTTTTGCACCAAATAAATAGTTCTTTTCTGGCCATTGGTTTCAAACCCTAACGTCTTTCCTACATTAGAGTCAGCCACTGTGGATTTCTTCAGGCTGAGGGGAAAGGACAAAGGCCCCGAGGGAGGACAGTGTCTGGTCATGGGAGGAACAGAGAAGGGGAGGTCTGATGGTGCGCGTCTGGAGGTCATTGCAGATTAAGGCGTCTACCCTGAGCATCCGGAGAGCCACTTGATGGGAGGAGTAGTGGGATCTACCTTCCACCCTGGAGCGCTTCCTCTGGCTGTCCTGGGGAAGCCAAGGATCAGAGCAGCAAAACCTCTTGGGGAACTGACATGTTGCAAACAAAGGGTCAGATCATCGAATCAGGCTCACGAGATCGATTGTACCTTTACTAACGCCAGGTGTGTGCAGGTAATTTCAGGACACAGATGAAGGGTGGAGAAATCTAGGACCCCCCTCCACTGGTCCCTTGTTCTTCCCTCTCAGGTCCTTAGGTCCTGGCTGAGAGTTAACATATCCATAAATCACAGAGGGGGCATCCCTTGTACAAAAGCAGTTATTTAGGTCATGAAATGTCTTCATTTTACATGAGAAAAATCACACAGTGAATTTAACACTTTCTGGAAAGCCAAGCCTCATAAATTTTCCATCCTAGGTTTACTTATAGTGTGCGTACTGGACACCCTGAGTACACCCTGCCCAAAGTAGTAATTGCATTAAGAGTATGAAACAATCCAAGGAAAAGAAAGAATGTTAAGCAAACCCACCCATATGCTGTTTAGAAGAGACAAGCCCTACTTTACGTTTAAAAGCCTGGAATGGGACATGCCATGCACACAAGAAAGCAGATGCACTTAATATAAACAGGAAACTTAAAGCAAGAAATGCTAGTAGAGATATTTTCATGGTGATTAGAGTTAATAAGGAAGACAGGAAAAATCCCAAGTATGCATTAATAACAAAACTCCAAAATACATAACATTTGTCAGAAAAGCTAAAAGGAAGAAAAGCCAAATCTAAAATCCTGATTGGGAAATGCAATACACCGTTCTTAGTAGTGGAAAGCACAAGCAGACAAAACAGAAAACATTCAGAAGATTTTTAGCAACAGAACCAATGGGACTGGTAGACATAGAGAGCATTCTGACACCGCCCCCTTCCAAACTTCTGTTCTACTTTACACTGAGTCTCTGCCAGAGTTGACCAACTTCCAGAAAGATGGAGACCATAC